CTAAAGTGGAAGAGCAGAACCTGAACCCGGGTCTTCTGGCAGCTTGTACATGGACCTGGAGGGCACCCTCGTCTTCTCACACCTTCCTGTTTCCGTTCGAAGGGAGGTGGGAGATGCAGGGTGAGGATTCCATCACTGCGGCTCTGCCCACAGGCCCACGTGTCTCATCTCAAGCTTTGGCAAGTGCTTGTTTATGCTGTCAGTATGGTACCATCTAGCCATATATCACTATTGAAAATCTAATTTCGATCAGTTAAGATGAACGAAGAGTAAAAATTCACTTTCTCTGTTGCACTAGCCCCGGCCTACATGCTCAATAGCCACGGTACTGGATAGCACAGACAGAGAGCATTTCTATTGTCTCAGAAACTTCCACTCAATGGTACTGGGCTCTAGAAAACTCAGCCAAAGTGATTGTGAGGACAGTGTAGTCTTGCCCTCATAGCCATGGCCTAAGAAGAAAGTTTAGAAAAATCAGTGTTATCTGCTTTAAAAGTGGCACACTTTGTAAGTAGCTGAGTTTATCCCTAGCTCTAATGAGTACCTTCCCCACTTCACACCCTTGAACGGTGGTGTTTTTCTCACGTTATCTGATAAGAAGAGAAGCTCCTAAGTTCCTTCCCCGTTTACGACCCCCTCACTCAAAATACATACGGAACGCCCACACCCCATGCCACACCCCACCCACCTCCACACGTAACACCCTCAGCCACTGCACAGTGCTTGGCACAGGACAAGCAGAAAGTATGTCCAACACCCAGCATATAGCAACTCTTCACAACACTGCTGTGCACAGTTGGCCAATGGAAGAACATACCCGTGAAGGGTAAATACCACATCCCCTGGAGGTCTGTAGCTACACTTCAACTTCCCAGCATCCTCCTTTCCCATCTCCTCCCTTCCTAGCAAAGAGCAGATGGGAATCTTGCCAAGTGAAAACCGAGGGCTGCTCCCCTCCAGGGAAAGCAGGAAAACAGAGGCTCCGGGGGCAGGGGGGTAGTGGTGGGAACTTCAGGCTCAGGTCTGCCCATTACTTAGTAAGCGGGGCCTTCTTCCCAGGGCAAGATGGAAGCATCTAGAAAGCCCCCTTCACACACACACAGCAGACCCGTGCTCCCAGCTGTTCCCTTGACAATGAATGGGAAGAGTTGAAGCAAGACAGATGGTCTTTGAATCCCTCCTCACCACCTGCTGGTTGTGTGACGTGGTGTGTATCACCAGCACCCCCGAGGCCGCGGGAGAAGAAGATGTGTGTTTGGAGTTGATCCTCTAGCAATTCAGCAGTTTTTCCCTCCTCAGCCTCGAGGGGAAAGTGAGAACAGACCTAGAACGAAAGTTGCATTTTCCCTTTAAAATTTCCTTTTATAACAATATTTCTAGTTTTGTAGGTAGCACATATGATAAAAATGCCCTAAGTGTGTACAGTGAGATTTCGTTCCTACCTTCTCAGCCACCTAGTTCTCCAGAGGCAACCGGTGTTCCCAGGGTCCTCCCATGGCCATGGCGTGTGCACAGCAAACATGCAGGCTGTCCCCAAAACGTGTGCATGCAACAGCTGAGAGCTCAATGGCTGCTTCTTTCTTTTCAGATTTAACCCATTGCAATTTATAAGTGTTCAGAGTGTTCAGATTTGGGGGCACACCCTGTATGCCCATGTGTTTACAGCTATATTTGCACGTCTTCCATTCTGACACAAATAGCTGTGTGACTGTTTTGAACCTCTTTTCCCTATCAGATCTTGGAGATTTTTTTTTTTTTTTGTATCCACAGTGAGCATTCTTAGTCTTTCTATAGCTGCGGAGTATTTCATTGGAATGTGTACCGTCATGTTTATCCCATCCCCCGCTGATGAATTATTTAGGTCACTTCCAGGTCATTGCTGCTCTAACCCATGTCACAGTGAACATTCTTACACATCTACCGCTTTGCACATGGGTGAGTACATTTGTGGAATAAATGTCCACAAGAGGAATAGGTGCATACCTTTGATAGACCATGTCAAGTGGCCGTCACAGAATCTGTACCAGTTTGCTGTCCCACCAGCAATGTGTGCAAACAGAGCTGAGTGCGAAGCCTGTGTGGAGCCCACAGACCTCAGAGCCTGGGCACCAGGCATAAGTTTGCCAGAACAGCTCAGCTTCCATCGTGTGTGAGAGTGTGTGTGTGTGTGTGTGTGTGTGATTTCATTTGAAGCCAGCTGTTTTGGCTAAGCGGCTCAAAAACACTTGCGAACCATGAAGTAGGGAAACATCACTGTTCTCTTAGCCCTCCGGCTTGAAAGAGTGACAGAGAAATGAGACTGCCCCACCCCCCACAGGCAGACCCTTACGCAGGCACTTTGGGGAGAGAATGGCCCACAGGGTAGCTGGAAACAGACAGTGAGCAGAAAGATTTTCAGGGAGCAGGAGTAGAAGCCAAGGTGCAAGGAGATGAGACTGTCTCATAACCCCCAGTGCTGGCCAGCGCTCTCCAGAAGGTCAGCCCACTTGAGCTAGTTTAAGGATGCACCGCGTGCCAAGCCCCGTGTGCTGGGTACCGAGCTAGCGTGGCTGGTGTGCCCTCAGGAGCTCAGACTGAGAAGTCAGGCCCGCGGGCAGCAAGGGCCATGCAGTGTCATCGGGGCCATGGTGATGGTGACAGCTGGGAGACTTACTGAATGCCAGACAGTGAGCAGTGCTCATCACCTGGCCTCGTTCTGCAGAAACTCCCTGAGAGATGACGGCGTTAGCCCATTTTCACAATGAGGAAACCGAGACCCTGAGAAGGTGAGGTGCGGTCCTGACACCGCAGCGGGGGTGACAAAGCCAGGGTTCAGACCGAGGCTGCCTCTCTCCACGTCTTAAGGGAAAGCAGGTGGGATGTTGGAGCTGAAAGCCCATCCACCCCTCTGCTAACGGTCTCTGCTCCCTTCATCGCTCGTGCCCCCGTTACTGTTCAGGGTGCTACGGGGAGGGGGGCAGAGGCGGGAGGCAGGGCGTGGACTTTTAGCCTGGAAGGTCCCGCCCAGCCGTGTGTATCCGCTTTCAGTTATCACCTGAAATCGCGAGTCAAAACGGCCTTTTTACTCGTCATCTGTTTCTTTATGACATCTTTATCTGGTACGAAACTGTCATGGTCTGTCTGAAATAAGGTGAAAAAGCAGAGGAGGATACAATGAAACAAATCACAGTCCAGGCAACTCTTGGTTTCCTCTCTTCCCCTTCGATGCCATCAGATGTTCTTGTTTTTTTGTTTGGTTTGGTTTGGAAACCCCTAGAGACGCTAGCAGGGAAATGCAGTGACTTCCTCGTTCATCCACGTCGCATTTCTCTCTCCTCTGTCAGGTCACCTCACCTTTTTCTGAGGACAGTTTCTATAACAGAATCAAGAGAGGCAAAAGTGGGAGGCAAACACTTCTCTCAGGAATCAGGTCATGTGTCTCCATATTTTGTTTTCATACATTTTGTCTTCCTAGTCTCTGGCCTTTCCCCCCTTCTTATGTTATCCCAAACCCACATTCCCAGTTCTGGCCCCAAACCCAAGCCCATGCCTGACCACCCTTTCTCCAGGCCAGTTTTATCTCTTCTTCCCAGCATTTAAACAGCTCTTGAAAATCCATCTTCTTGAAGAAAAAACATTTCATAGCAATTCTTCGTAACCTAAATCCCCATGACCTCACTTAGTGCTATTCAAACACGTGTACTCGTACTGTGTCGCTGCGTCCTGGAGCCACGGGAAGTACGATGATGCGGCCTGTTGTCCTGAAGGAGCTCAGTCTTGGGGGGAGAGGGTATGTGAAAGGAGGCTGCTTCTGCCCATTTTTGCACCAGGATCATGTTCTTTTCCATTATGGTTTGTCTTCCCCTCTGGCTGGTGAGCCTCTCAAGGACAAAGGTCTTATCTGTTTTACTTACCATTGTATAATCAGTACCTCACAGAGTGCCCTCAATAAACATTTGCTGAGTGAATGAATGAAAACAAAGAAATGACAGTACAGAAGGATCAGTAATGTAATATGTTTTCAGGATAAGCAAAAGCTCCAAGGAGAGAGTACTGAATTCTTTGGGGGGCAGGAGTGCCGTTGGAGGAGTGGGGAGACTTGCTGGGGAGGGTGACTTCTGGGTTGGATTTTGAGAGTGACGGCTACCAACATTGATGTGCCTTACATGGTGTCCGACTCCTATAGAGCACCTAGTAAAAGTTTGCTGAGCACTTTATACGGTATGAAGCAATTATACCTACAGTACCGCTAATATTCTATTATTCGACACATCCCTGGGAGGGCAGGGCATGGCTGTTTCATGCTGGAAGATCTGTCTGTCACCTGGAAACCTGTCAGTAGCGTAGGAACACCTGCTGGAAACCAAGGTCGTGTGTGTGTGTGTGTGTGTGTGTGTGTGTGTGTGTGTGTGAGCCCTGTGAGGAAGTTTGGGGGCTGAGTGGGCGCCGGCTGAGAGAGAAAGCAGTCTTAAGTATATGCTTTAGAAGAGGGGTCTCATCCAGGAAAGATCACCAGAAAGAAACAGACAGAGGTGATTTTTCAGTACTTAACCTCATTCCTGGTAACAGCTCATTACCTAACTCCTGTATCCTCCACCCAAGCCAGCTTCAGATAATGAAATTCCTGAAAAATCAGGATGAGGGAGAAGAGAAGAGGAGATACAAACAAAATGCATTTTTAGTTGAATTTATCTAATGCCCATACATTAGAGGGAGAGAGAACAACAAGCTATGAGGTCTAAACTTGCTATTAGTTTATTTTAAGTTTTCTTAATTTTGGTTAGCTCTAGTTGCTTCCTGACATAACGATGTCAATGCTTGGGAGACTGAGAACCAACACTACTGAGATTTGTGAGCCTCCTGCCCCTGGTGTGACTCTGGGTTCCCTCCTGCTACCGTAGACACATCCTCTCTATGACCGATGGAAGATACCGCTGTATGAGTAACAGCAAATTATATCAAAGATGAGACCCCTCGCCCCCAGTTAATCCTCACCTTGTGTTTTCCATATGCCTGTGCAGCTTCATCATACACAACAAAGACACCTTCTTCAACAACGCCACGAGGAGTAGAATTGTACATCATATCTTACAAAGAATAAAGTATGAAGAAGGAAAAAACAAAATTGGTGAGTAGTGTATTCATATAAAAAGCTACTTTTGATTGGGGGGATTACAAACCTTTTGTCCTTTGGTTTTATTAAGTTAAAATCCATTCTAGAAATGGTCCTCATTCGTGAAACCTCCAAGTTTTCCCTTGCTGGGTAACTCACAAGTGTAAAATCTTACCGGCGTCCTTAGATCTCTTTTTTAAATTGCTTGTTATCTCCTTTGTCTAAGATTAGTTCCAGAAATACGTATGGCATGCCCATTACGTGCCAGGCATGCCTGGGGAGATGAGACAGTTCTCTCCTGCAGCTTCTGTTCACGCACTTAAATGCAGACAGTAAATAAGTAAATATAAGTAACATGAAAAATGGAAATGGATGCTGTTTCAGAGGTAGACTGGGAAGGGGAGGGATGAGGAGAAGCTGAGGTGGAATGGTCAGGGAAAGCTGAACTTGAAAGTGAGACCTGACAAGAGGGAGCCCTGTGGGGGCAGGTGGGGTGGGGGAGGGGCACTGCGGGGAGGAAGCAGCAAGTGGGGGACGGGCTGTCACACATCAGTACATTCTCCAGATAATCGCCTCCTCAATTAAACAGCCCCCACAATTTATATTTTGGACATTTTTTACAAGAACTTTTCCATATTACCAGATTTCCTGCCTTATTAAACAGATTATTATATTATCGGGAAGATTTGGGTGGCTTTGTCCTGTGTCCCAGCAAGATATGTATCAGTGGTTTGAATAATGACCTATATCAATCAGGGTCTAATCAGGAAACAAAAATCTCACAGAATTTGAAGAGGGAAAGTTTAATATAAAAAAAATCAACTGTGACAGAGGATGGGAGTAATGGACTGGCCAGTCAAGAACAAGAACAGTAGAGAATAGAGGAGCAGCAGGTGTTAGGAGCAGCCCCAAATCCTTCCCCCACCAAAGCCGAGATGCAGACCCTGTAGGGCCCGTAGGATGGGGTACAGCGGTGGTTCACTAGGCAGCAGAGCCGCTGGGGGTCCTGTGTCGGCAGGACTCTGGGGTTCCCCCCTCTCAGTACTGGGACAAGCGCCTGGAGGGGTCCACGGAAGCCATTCACTGGGAGGTGTGTGGGCAGCACTGCTCTGTGAGGCTGTTCCGGGGCGCCCACCCTTGGGGAAGTGCCACCTGCTGCTGGCCACCACGCACCGCAGGAGCTAGAAACCTGCGGAGACAGCGTACTCGTCCAGGCAGACAGACTCCTTCCTCCGGTGCCCCTCCAGTGCCTTCTGCCAACAGTGCTGAATGCTGCACCGTCTGGCAAAGGAGAAATACTTACAAGGTCCAGCTCCATTATTTCAAAGCAGGCAGTTAAGTTCATTTGCAGCAAAGGGGCAACACATTGATAACTGGCGCTCGCCTGGACAGCCTGCTCAGCGGGCTTTCGTGTGGGTGGAGGCTGGAAGGAGGCCCTAAATGTTAGTCATGGGACTCAAGAGCCTAACTGATCTAAGGGATCTGGGAATCTCAGCGAGTCCACCAAGATGACGTTCGATAGTTCGTAAATGTGACTCTTACCTCACACTCAGCAAAGCAACTGCCCTGGAACTGGGAGGCCGTGTCGTGCCACACCAGGAGGGCAGCAGACCGGGGAGGTTTAGTTGAATGCGGCTCAGTGTGAGTCACTAGTCCAGTGATGCCGCCAAAAACTACTTTGATCCCAAGCTGCATAAATTGAAATACACTAGGGAGAAATGGATAGCTGCTTAGTCCAGATCTGAATATACCTGCAATAGTGTTTTCAGTGAGAGCCAGTGTGGGTGGGAGCGGTAAACGGAACCTGACTGAGGTCTAACTTCAGTGGGGTAGTGGGCTAGCCCTCGAGTTCTCTGCGGCTGTCACCAGTCCTGGGACACATCCTCTGCACGACATCCTTCAGGGCCATTCTAGCCTAAGGCAATCAGCCCCTCCTCTGAGTTCAGGTGGCAGCTGTTTCTGTGTATGTGTTTGATTATTCCCCATAATATAATCATTTACAACTCTTAGTATCTAGAATTATTTCTTTTCAATGACATCATGAAAATTCTACCACGGAAAGAGGGCCACAGTTAACATTTTGGCATGCTACATAGTTTCGACATTACATTAACGGCTTCTTTATTTTATCCCCTATTTGTCCATGCGATCTGCTACACTTAATTATTACGCTACTTTTTTTCAGTTAACATTATTTCTTGAACATACTAGAAAACAAGTGAGTGGAAGTGAAATGATTATGGCAGTAGCTATTCTGGATTATTTCATAACATGCAAATACATTTTTAAAATATTGCCTTTGCTAATATTGGGATTAAAACTTGCAGCATGCCTCGTAACTCACTGTGACACATAGTGTGTTGAGAATCTTCTTCTGAAAACAGCTAGTGTAGATAATGGGCTCCTTAATTGTAAATAAGTTGCCTTATTGGTCTTTGTATCATCATTGCCTAGCACAGTGTCTGACATATTGTAGAAGTACTGTTGAACTGCATTGAAAATCTATTACCATGATCATCGTCTAACCATAGCATACTAGATAGTCAAAAACGGTGCAAAATGAGGCCATACAGCAATGATTGTGCTTAATTTTTTCACCTCAAAATGTGGGCTGTTCTTACCACTACTCAAGATGGAGACAAAAGAAGAGCGGAGACAATGTTTTTTTTAATGTTCGGGAGGAACACAGGAAGTACTATAATATTATCACTACTAAGAAATGATCTTTTCTTGCCCTGGCCAGTTTGGCTCAGCAGTTGAAACTCGGCCTGAGGACCAGAGAAATGATCTTTTCTTACTAGTTCTCTCATTTGATGAAAAATGGAGAAATCCATTCAAGAACCCCCAGTGCTTTGAAAATAAGTGATTATAAACTGGAAAATTAGAAATAACTTATAACAGAGTTATAATCCAGGATCAGGCATTATGCTAAAACATACAAAGTAAAGCTATGTTAGCCTGATGTTTCATTGTCATCTTTGGTTTCATAAATAAAAGAAACAACATATCAAAAAAATTCAATTTACTGATGGGATTAATGTTTATCCAATGTCATTTTCTGCCGGAAACTTTTTCTGAAAGTATCTTGCATGAGCCAGCATTGATTAGAGATAACAAAAAATACTGATTTGTAAACATGATTCATAAGACAATTTTAGTAGAGTATGAACTACCACTATCTAAGTATTTCAGCTTCACTCTGAATTTATTACAACTGTGAAAATCAAACCTGTTGAAATTCATTTTCAAAATATAGCGATTGATAGATCAACAGAGATTTACTTAACCATATAAATGCATAAAATAAGTCTTGAAATTGATTTGTATGTTCAAAATTGGTGCTCAGAGGGGAAGTTACTAGACTTCAAAGATTAATTACTTTCTTACTTTGCAGGACTTTGATAAATTATGATAAACTTATAAAGGGCATCATCAGAGCCTCTTCTTAGATCCCTGCGTATCCTATTTTTTCTAATATCTGGGATGTTTGAAAGTTATTGATGATATACGTGGATCTCAATAGAGACCCCAGGAAATCAAAGCTTTCTACACAATCATTTATTCATTCATAACAAAGCTATTTATTGAGGGCCTCCTGGGTACTGGACAAAATACAAAGCCCTATGGATATTTGTATTTCAAATGCTTTCCTTAAATGTTTCGTGTTAATGCCAAGCATCTTGCAGCACATTACTGGGTCACCATGATCAAAAGTATGTACACACTGCAGGACCCTCCAGCAGTATCAAGCGAACTAGAGCACGTTCCGTTTTCCAGTCAGGCTAAGACTGCGGACTCTAATCAGGACCTAAGCCTAGACGGCATTTTCTCTTAAACCACTGGAGAGACATCCTTCCAGTCATCCCCTCTGAGGTGCGTTTCAGGAAGTAGAATAAATATCGATCCAAAAGAACCTCGGCAGATCAACACATTAAACGTCCACTCTGGCCAAGATGGAAGAACGGGCACAAGAGTCTCTGTCCCACCTGACATGGTCAGAAAAGGAAAAACAGGAAAAGTGTATCAGATAATCTGATTCTGTATATAACCAGGTTTTGATGTGATAAATGTGTCCACTCCTCTCAGTACGTGCCAGTCTCTATGCCGCACAATATACTGGGTGCACTTCACTGTTTTCTTTTTGTTTTTTGTTTTGTTTTGTTTTTTAATTTTTTCTTGATTGATTTTAGACAGAGAGGAAGGGTGAGGGAGAGACAGAAACATTGATGAGAAAGAACATCGACTGGCTGCCTCCTGCATGCCCCCCGCCAGTCACCGGGGACACAACTTGGGCATGTGCCCTGACTGGGAATCAAACCGGCAACTTCTTGGTGCCTGGGTCGAAGCTTAACCACTGAGCCACACCAGCCGGGCATCACCGTTTTCTTTTTGAAAATTCCCCAACTCATGATTCCAGTTTCCTGGTAGAGAGCAACTTTCTCTCTCAACTCTTGGTGTTCCCAGCCAGGTTCACATCACTTTTGAAAACCGAAATGATTTTCTCCAAAAAGTACCACCCCTACCTCAGTCTTGAACATCGTGAGAATTGGGACTCTGCATTAATGCAAATCGAACCTTGTGTCGTTTTAGGTCTGAATCGCTTGCTTACCAATGGCTCCTATGAAGCTGCTTTTCCTCTACACGAGGTATAGTCCTGCCTTTTCTCCTTCTCCGCCAGTTTCTTATTCTGAAATTAACTTCTGGAGATAGTCATTCATTGAGTTTGTTGATATGACATTTCTTCAGAAGGAATTTAATTTGTTCAGTTGATAATTAGGCCTCTTTGCCTTGTGACCAAGCATAGTTGGTTTATTTCTTTGTGTCTTTTTATGTAATTGCAAGAATACTTGAATCAAGAGTCACTTAGTGTGAATTCAGAGGTATGGCTGAGGGATTCCAAGTCACAGAATTAAAGAGGCATTGAAAATTTGCTTGAGGCTTGAAACTGGGGTGGGGTGGGGGGGTGTTCCTGGGATAGATAGTCTCTGCAACAAGAAATGTATAGTTAGTACTTAAAGAATGGGAAGCCATCTCGCAAAGTCTCTGGTAACCGAAGGGTGATAAATGGAAATGAATGGTATTGTATGTATCGTTGCTGTTTTAAGATAGATGCGTTCTGGGGTTTTTTTTTAAACACACTATCTTTTTATTTTCATTTTACTTTTTAATTTTCTTATTATTACATGCTCTTTGTCATATATTAGAACTTTTAACTCCCCATTAGATCTTGGGTTATTTCACCCACAATTCTCTTTACACATGGGTTTTTCAATGTTGGTGAGAGATGATTGTCTTTCCCATAGTATTGTGCCCCGGCCATACTGGTCACTGTATGACACAGAGAATACAAAGAGAAATATCACGGCACATGCCCTCCAGAACATCACAGACTACCAGGCGGAACTCCTGCTAGAGGGATTTTCGGGAACAATGTTAACAGTTTGCCAGTATACTCTAAAGGACAATTCCAACTGTCCCCAAATGGCAAGTCTTTTCATTTGGCTAATGATGTTTCAACACCACAAGCATGTAGAAGGTGACTGAGAATTTTTCAAACCTGATTCATTAACCAAACGAGCTTTGGTCTGACACCCTATGTACAGTCTGCCACGAGACATGTTTGGAATGATCCTTTCAGTATCACAGGGGCAAACCTGTGACACACAGGTGTTCCTAGGGCCACATGTGGGTGTTTCTGAACTCCAGAGGCAGATTTCCCACCAAACCTCACGTGGCGTCCTGTAGTTATTAGTTGGCTTTACCAAAAGAGAGTTTCAGTGAGAACGGCGCCTCCTGCCGGCCAGCCCTCGCCCAGGGTAAGGGCAGTGTCTGGGCAGTGATAGGTGTACAGGTTACTGTGCAGGTGAGTGGATGGCAGGCATCTGAGGAGATGCAGCTATGAAACCTCCCAGAGTAACTAAGACCTTCTCTATGGCTTTGGGAAAAGCCCCATGTTTGATGAGAGAACATCCAAATTAATAATAGCAGCTGCAAGACCATAATTGCTTTTTGATTTTTTTTTACTCAGTTGAACTTCATTATATTATTTCACCTCAACCTTCAGTGGCAAGAAGGCAGGAAGGGCAGATATGTGTGCCCTTGTTACATGTTCAAAATTTAAAGCAATTTAGAAGTTTAGAGAAAGGTCAGCCCATCTCTAGTCACCCAGGGAGTTGGTGGTGGAGCTGAGACTAGAACTTGAGTTTCTTGTCTCTCTGCCCTGTTTACTTTCCACTAAAAACTAACTTCTCTGATTAAAAGGACTTCCCGGTAATTACTCCACCTCCAGGAAGTACCTTTTCTGTCTGTGAAGCCAACATCACCTCTCTGACCCTCCGTCTCCTCGTCTGTTGAAGGAGGAGGTCAGATTTGTTTTGAATTTTTCTAACTTTTGAGGTGACTTCCAGCTTTTACTTCTAGCATTTTCTCATAGATAAGGCCATGGGACAACGTTACAGCTGTAGCTGTTTACCAAGTAAACAGCTGTTTACCAAGTAGTCTTGACACAAGTGGGACCGAGAGCTAATATATCTGGAGCGTGGCCTCCAAGCAAGACGCAGGCATTGGAGCCAGAGAAGAAACCTAATGAGACAGACATAATTAGTCCCATTACGAACTAGGAATCCAAGGCTCAGAGAGTTTAAAGTAACAGGCCTGAATCTGAACTCAGCTCGGACCTGCCTGTTTCTAGTCAACAGGTTCTCCTTCCTGCACGGGATCATCAAGAGAATGTGCAGAATAACTAATCAGTAGTGTGGATCCCATGTTTTCTCATAGCACCTCTGTTGCTCCTCTTGCCGCAAGAGCCTAGTGTCACTGTTAACTTTTCTTGTGGCTTTTGTGGGCATCACCTCACCGGCAGTGCCGTTTTCATCCCAGGGCGGTTACAGAAGTAAAAACTCCATTAGGACCCACGGAGCGGAAAACCACCGACACCTGCTCTACGAGTGCTGGGCCTCCTGGGGCGTGTGGTACAAATACCAGCCTTTGGATCTTGTAAGGTGAGTTTCTTAGCAGCTGTACATATGAGGCTGGCACAGAATGACTAGGGCAGACTGTCTGCTGGGACTCGGGAAAACGCTCTGGGGTCCACAGCGCTCGCTCTAATCTGGCTTCCTCCCCAAACAGCAGCTCTCAGAGGACACCGGTCACTCTTGGGAAACCAGACCTCCCTCTGAGGAGGCTGCTGTTTCCTCCAAAAAGGCCTTGGGAAGGGGCCTGTGAGGTCTGCCGGGTCTCCCACAAGACTCCATAAGGAGCAGGTCACCCACGTGACTTACTGACAAATTATCAGTAGCCGTTGTGGAGAGGTGACCCTGCTTACATATATGAAGTGACAAATGGGATATTAATTACTATGATGTAAGTAAGAAACACATGGTGCTGTCATGCTTAATAAATTTTACGTGTATTTTAATTTTCATTTGAAACTAATAACTTTTAAAGGTTGTTTTGAATACTACAGGTCACAAGAGTATATCAGCTTTTAATCAATGAGAATTGTGCAGGGAATGTGTGTTTTTAAGTGTCTCTATGTGCACAACTTTCTGTGGCAGTGTTCCACTCTGACATCTCATTATTTATTTGAGACTAGTTATTAAGACTGGGTAGCAACAATCCACACCTCATGGATTTTTTATTAAAGAGAAAGTCATGTCTCATTTCCTAGACTAGCTGGATTTGTTTAATTTTTACGGGGCCCCTCAAAAAATGAGCCCAGAGGAAAGTGAAATAATAAGACAGCTCGCTGTGTTTCATCTCCCTGAGTGGTCATTCTTGCTACCGGAAGCCTTACTACCAAGTGTTTACTCCTGTTGACTCAAGGACATTGACGAATTGTGTTCCATTCCTTGTGTTGGTAAAATAAATGATCCAGATAATTTGTGTGAGTGGAAAATATTTGAGATGAGATCATTTTCCATTGACCAGTTTCAATACATGATAAAACAGCGGGGTGGGAGTAGGGGCGGAAATAAAGGCAAATTCTCTTCCAAGCCTCGGTTTCGTATTACAGGATTACACTGATTGAAAATTACAGAAAGTTGCTGCAGGCGAAACATATCTTGTTCATGACAGTGTTTTGATTAGGACTTTGCAGTTTATCAGTGAGTCTTCATTAACTGCCCATTGTGTTTCTCTGGCTTTGAGAAACTCTTGGTTTCCTTCAGGGAAACAGGCCCTGCATACTTGAAACAACTATAAAATAACACAAGACTATGGACAATTAGGGAAAAGGTTCGATGGAGGTGGTAAGTTTACAGTAACTCAGGAAGATGGAGAGGAAGCGTCTCTGTGGAGGGCTCTGCAGAGCTGAGCCCAGGCAAGCGGTGGGACTAGTGTTGGCAGAGGACAGGGAGCTGAAAATCACAAGCAACATTGGACTAGAATGAGGTTTTAGAGCATCGCCGGGATCTTGTCTCTAAAATAGTTCTTGTCGCCCTGGCCAGTTTGGCTCAGCAGTTAGAGCGTCCGCCTGCGGTCCGGAGAGACCCGGGTTCGGTTCCCGCTGAGGGCATGTACCTCGGTTGCAGTTTGTCCCCGGCCCTGGTTGGTTGTGCGGGTGGCAGCCACTTGATGTGTCCCTTTCACATAGATGTTTCCCTCTCTCTCTCTTCCTCTCTCTCCCTCCCACTCTGTCTGTACAAAAAATGGAAAAATGTCCTCGGATGAGGATTAAAAAAATAATAATAATAATAAAATAGTTCTGGTCCTATGGATTTTGCTTCCTTCATCTCTCGAATCTGGTCACACCCAGCCTCTCTCTGCCACACTGCTTCCTCCCCTGTAGCCTGGACTATGGCTGTTGTCCCCTACTTGGTCTCCCTTTTTCCACTCTGGTCCCTTCCATTCCATACTCTTCCCTCCTGACACAGTGATCTTTTTGGAATGTGAATCTGATCATGTCCCTTGATTATTAAAACTCTCTCATGAGATTCCATTTCTCTCAGGACAAAGATCAGTGCATTTCGCACGGTCTACAAGAGCCTTTGAGGCCCAGCCCCACCGACCTCACGCCCACTGCTTGTTCTCAACGTTCCAGTCACACCACCCGTATTTTACTTGGTCCCTTCTACCACAGGATCTTTGTACATACTGTTTCCTCTGCTGGAAACTCTATCACCAACCCACCTAGCTGACTTTCACTCATCGGCCCAACAGCCACCTTCTCAAAGAAGTAGTCCCTGACTCAGGTGTCCAATGGCCTTGTTCTATATGCTGACAGAATTATATTCCTCTCCTTTTTAGTTCCTTTCCCAGTTTTGTAATTATAAACTTATTTCTTTAATTGATCTACATGAGTCTCCTCTATGAACTTGCAATCTTGACAGGAGCAGAGGCCAAGTTTTTCTCACCAATCTGTTCTCAGCACCTAACACAATATTTGGTATATTTAAATTTATTTTTCTTTATTGATATTAGAGAGAGAGATGAAGGGAGAGGGAAAGAGAGAGAAAAACATCAATGAGAGAGAATATTGTTTGGCCACCTCCTGCATGCCCCGCACTGGGGATTGAGCCCACAACCTGGGCATGTGCCCTGACCGGGAATCGAACCGGCGACCTCTTGGTGCACGGGTTGACGCTCAGCCACTGAGCCACACCAGCCAGGCTAGCACAGTATTTGGTACATAGTAGGTACTTATTTGTTGAATGAATAAATAAATACATGTGTGTATAAAGGCATACATATTGAAAAGTCTTCTGGGAGTAGAAAGTTTCTATTGGGACACTGTGGAAGATGGGGTAAGTAAGTAATCCCATGCTCCAGGAGCCATTGGACGTTCTAAGAGGAAAGCAGCAATCTGCATTTATTTATTTTTTTATCCTCACCCAAGGACATTTTTGCATTTATCTTCATATAGAGCAGGAAGGAGAAAGGGGGGAAGAGAGAGAGAAGAAACATCCATGTGAGAGAGACACATCGATTGGTTGCCACCTACACGACCCCAACTGAGGCCGGGGACAAACTGCAGCCAAGGTACGTGCCCTTAGCGGGAACTGAACCTGGGACTCTCTGGTCCGCAGGCCGACGCTCTAACCGCTGAGCAAAACCAGCCAGGGCAGAAGTCTGGATTTAGAAACAGATGGTCAACGACATTTGTTTAGAATGAGAATGAAAAAACTAATTAGAATATTTTTATGTTGGCCTAAGAAATAATTACCTTCTACGCCATTGAAATGTAGCAGTTGAAAGACACAGAAAGCACGATTTGGCTTGTATTCTAACACAAGTTGATCAAATTCTTGATGCTTAAGAAATATTAGAAAAGCCAAGAAATATCCTGGACAGTTTCAAACTTGATAGACCACAGGCCACTAGGCAGTCTGGTTAGACTCAGAAAAATATTTATAGAAGTAGACATTGAAGCCTGGGAAAAGTCATCACTTTAAAGGAAAGTTGCTCTAAATTTCTATTCTTGTCGAATCTCAGTAATTAGAGATTTGTGTTTGTTTTCTTTCCAGTATCTTGTGATTCTAGCATTGCAAATGTCTTGTGAAGCTATGAAATACTGAAAGGGATATTTAAAGCTTTTCACAATAGGTCAGTTTCCAATTTTTTAAAGATATATAATGGTAATACATACATTACAAATAAGCAGCATACACTCAGAAATGGCAAAAATGAGGTGTTGGCACCAGCTTTTCAAAGTCTGCTTTTGTATTAATAACAATGTTATATCTTCCTGAATGGGCTTGGGATTATTCTGTTTCCTCAGAGCAAGTTTGTGTATGTTTTTTTATAAAAGGGTTCATTCTATGCCCAGCCAGTGTGGCTCTGAGGTTGAGCATCGACCCATGCACCAGGAGTTCGCCAGTTCGATTCCCGGTCAGGACACATGCCCAGGTTGTGGGCCCGATCCCCAGTGGGGGCGGGGCATGCAGGAGGCAGCCAATCAATGTTCTCTCTCATCAATGTCTCTCTCTTTCTCCCTCTCCCTTCCTCTCTCTAAAAGCAATAAAGAAAAAAAAATTTTAATAAAAATAAAAGGGTTTATTCTATTTCTGATATAGAATAGTAAGGAGAAGAAATGTAAGGCCAGAGCCTAGATAGGGTCAAGTGTTCCGTTCACTTGGCGTACATGTTTATCTGCAAGGCCACACTACAAGGAAAAGACTGAGCAGAGGATTGTAATGCTTCATCCTAAACCCTTCACCATAACCTGTAAGGCTGTTGTGTCTTAAACAGGCGCTACTTTGGAGAGAAGATTGGGTTGTATTTTGCCTGGTTGGGCTGGTACACCGGCATGCTCTTCCCAGCTGCCTTCATTGGACTGTTTGTCTTTTTGTATGGAGTCATTACTCTGGATCACTGCCAAGTCAGGTACGGGGAGTTTGGGGGAGCTGGCCTTTCCTTATGTTTTAAAGATGGCTGTTTGTGCTTTGGGGTGTGTGCAGACCATGGGCCCACTTAACTTTTCCTTCTACTTTCCTTCTCAGCCTCTTCTGGAAAAATGCAAAAGCCTCAGTTGACTAAGGCACTCCATCCATTGCCCTTGCTGCTATGGTCTTCAGCTACCAAGGACGCAAATTTTGTGTTTCTGGACATATAAACCATGATATGTCCACAGAACAAATCACTTTTATTCACTGGCTAAAATGGGCTCTTTCCAACCTTTTGACTTTTTTTCTTTCTGCTAATAGTGCAAAATAGTGGGTTAGCAATCATTTTGTATGAATTCTGTGTTATCACAAGGACCCTTTAAACCTAAACCAGAAAGACATCACACTTGCGTGCTGGGTCCCTCCAAATGAGTCACTGTTGATCATTATCTTGGCTCCCTCACCAAAACAGAGTTTAAGGTATTCATAGAGATCTTACTGCAACGCTGGACAGCACTCTCAAATAGTTCATGTGCCTTTTAGAAGTGATTGCAGGAATAAAAGTGATTGATCGTCCTGTTTACAAACATATTTTACTTTCTGCTAAAATTGTTAATAAGCTATAGCTTTCACCCAAAATTCATCCCTAATATTTTTTTTTATTTATTCCTCCATTATTAATTTTATCTTCTGCATATAGAAATCGAAGCAGGTGCTTTTAGGTATCTCACTGTTCCCATAATTCAGTGTGAAATTGCTTTAAGCCTGTGCACTGTTATGAAGGACTTTTGTGTAATTTGGGGTATGACAACCAATGTTTTGCTTCATGTATTTTTCTGAGTTTAACTTATTAATATGTGAAGCCAAGAAATGGCCTCATAAATAAGTGGGTTTATCAAATTTTTAAATTGTGCAGGAACTTGTTTATATTAATAACATACAGCTAAGAAGCTTTGGTGGACAAAAATGTAATCTGTGGATCTCATTTACGGGTCAGATATCCTCATGAAATTGGAGGAGGGAAAATGCTCTTATATCATCAAAAAGCAGTCCTTTCCTGTTCTCTCTTCCAGTAAAGAAGTCTGCCAAGCTACAGATATCATCATGTGTCCTGTATGCGATAAATACTGTCCGTTCATGAGGCTGTCGGACAGCTGTGTTTATGCCAAGGTAATTTCAAATATGCAGCATTTTAGGTGGATTGGATTTTACATACACTTTCCTGAGGAACAGGGGCTCAGTAGATTCTCTCTGTTGTTTCTGGTCTTTGATTCTTACATGTATGTCGTAGGATAGACCCGCCTCCGTCATTCAGTGTTCTAATTCCGATATCTTTCGACCGCGTGTGTATAGTGAATGTATTGGCTCCAGTTCTCATCCCACGCAGCTGCGGCACAGAGTGCAGAGCACAGCTGCTCGGGTCAGAGGAAGGTTCAGATCTGGACTCCCTCCTTACCATTGTCAGTCAAGGAACAGGTGATTTAACCTCCCCGAGCCTCAGCTTCCCCATTTGTACAATGGAGAATGTGATGCTTGTTTCACACCATTTTTATAAGAAATGAGATAAGATGCATTCTGAGCAGAGTGCTTGGCAGGTGGTGATATATCAGTATATGAGAGACACTATCATTTTTCTCCTTTTCATCATCATTATTGTTAAAAAAAAAAACCTCAGATCCACCCGGCCAGTGTGGTTCAGTGGTTGAGCATCAACCCATGCACCTAGAGGTCGCCAGTTTGATTCCCAGTCAGGGCACATGCCCAGGCTGTGGGCCCAATCCCCAGTTGGGGGCATGCAGGAGGCGGCCAATAGATGTTCTCTCTCATCGATGTTTCTATCTCTCTCTAAAAATCAATAAAGAAAAAAAAACTTAGATCCAAGACTAGTTCTGCTACTCTGACCTCCTTGACCCTGCATAGATATACCCTCTTTGAGGCTGAGTTTTTCTGTCTCTGAAATGCACAGCTGCACTCACTGCCCCATGACCCGTCGTGGACCAAGGAAGATAGTACATGTGAAAGTGTTTTTAAAACAAAGAAACATACAGCACCGTCATGTCTGTGATCAGTTATTGCATCTCCTTTTCTCATGGTATGCCTTATTACTTTAATAAAATTTTAGACATAGACTCAATCCCTGTGGTGTTTTACCTAGGGACAGTGTCACTAAGGCATAGCAATAGCTGAAGGATGGGCTGTGAAGACTTTTCCAAGACCTGTTGCCTGTCAACGTGCCCAGATTCCCGATATGAAAGGGGTTGGCAGACTTTATTGAACCTCTGCGATCATTGCAGCTTGGATCTGACTATGCTGTTGGCATTGCAGAGTTGTGTTCCTTATAAATGAGAGAACATTTGATAGGCAGCCCAGGATCCCGCCCATCCATGATGTCTTTAGCACTGCAGGTGGCCAATCTGTGCGGAGCTTCAACCACAGTAGCCAGCTGTGATTTTAAAAAGATTTGGGCTCTTGGTATGTGCAGCAAGGAAACCGAAAGGCACAAAAGACTCTCTCTACCTTCGGAGAACATTCAAGTAGACCTGAGTGGTTGAGGACAAATTTAACAGAGTGAGCTAGGGAAATAGAGATGTTAATGAGGATCAAGAGAGTTTTGTCAGTAATTTAATTTCTGTTTACAGATTGTGAGTTAAGCATGAATAATTTGGGTATAAAAATCCTGCTGTTGGGGGAATCTCAGAAGCTGAATTTGTTATTGTTATTATTGTGGTCGTTTTGGGGTATTTGATTATTTGTTGTTTGTTGTTGTTTTAAGTGGAAAACATACCTTGAGTGAAGTTCTCTCTTTAGGAGATCCAAGACAATTCCTTAAAAGGATGGTCATGTTTGGAGTGATTTTATAGGGGCTTCTTTGGGAAGTTACCCTACTGAACATAACATCTAGAACAATAATTATATTATAATAGCTAAGCTATAACGATCAACGTAGCGAGGCAACCTACATTTTTTCTTTCTAATTCTCATAGCAGTTTTCGGGGTTGATGTTATTATTCCAATTTTACTCAGACGCAGAGAGGCAAGAATGACTCATCCACGATGACGCAGCAGTAAGTGGCTGTGCCGTGGATGATCTGACTGGGAAGCACGCCCTTGTGCCATACTGAGTCACAGATGTTTACATTATGGATTTTAAGTTTGGTCTTGCCTAGAAACCTAGTAACGTGAAGGCTAAAAAGCCTTAAGAAGATGGAATTGAAATTGTACAGACTTTCATTTAGAAAAACTTATCAGAAGTGCCAGACTGGTTTCCTGGGACTGAGGATATGGAAATCAAACTAGGGCTCGGATCCAATTTCATCAATGGCTGCTCCCCTGATCAGGAGGGTTTCCTCCCAAACCCTTGTATTTGCAAGGGTCAGACACCCAACTTTAATTGGCATAAGCAGAAAGGGACTTATTGGCTCATTTCCCTGGAAAAGACACTGGAGTAGTTCACACTCTGCGCACAAGGGCTTTCTGGCCCAGCACTAGTCCTCCAGGCCCCCAGGTGTCGCTCTCTTGCCATCTGTCTACATGCTCGTTCTGCAGACAGATTCACTTCACGTGATATGGAAAGTGACTGCTGAATACCATAGTTCCAGGCTTATATCTTCCTTCCTTTGTCTCCTTAGGCATATTTTTATGCTTATTTTAAGTTCTGCATTGGCTGTTACAGAATGTCTGTTTCAGAAGGTATCTGTTGCCTGCTTTCCAGTTGGGGGAGGCAGCTGTCTTCCCCAGATATTCTGTAATTTTGGCCTGCAGGTGCTTGTCCCGTGGCGGGAACAAGCACTTTGGGTAAAGGTCAGAGGCCAGGTTCTGGGCCGCCATCCTGGTGTGTTCAGAGGGGAGAGGACAGGGTGTCCCCGGCTGTGTGCTGGTACTCCTCCTCAGGGCTATGCCGCTAGGAGTTGCCTGTTTACGCCTCCTAGAGCAGAGGAGGGCCGGGAGGAGTTGCTCTCTTAATTGTAATCCGCCAGCCCCGGGGTTTCAGGGCGTGCACTGAGAAGTGAAGACCCGCGCGCGCAGTGCCTGCGTCATCATGTGCTCAACTAAGCAGGACTCTGAGCGCCCTGGCATTGCCCCAAGAACGCCAGTCCCTGTGGTTTGGCCTATTGCCGCTGATTTCTGAGGAGGGAAAATTAATTGTCCAATGACCCTTGAGGGAGAGCTGGACTAGAACTTAGGTACTTCTCTAACCTATGGGCTCACTCTGCTTGGGGACTACTACCTAACTCTCCCCATATACCACTATCATCACCCACCATCACACACACACACACACACACACACACACACACAGTTCAAGGCAACCTTCCATCTCCCCCGGAGTTTCTCAGAGTCTTTGTTTGTTTTTGTGTTTTGTTAGTCTACTATCTCACTTCCCTAGGATTGATTTTGCCAGAGGTATGCTACCTGACCATCTTTGTAGGAACCAGACATCACTGTTAACTCAACACCCCCCCTGATTCACATGTTCCCAAACTGGTAACTGCAGCAGAAAAATGTCTCTCTCTAACTGTTTGCACACCGGCCCCAGGGAAGGACTCAGTGTGGTTCTGCTGGATCTGTGTGCCCCCTAGTGACCTGCATGAAAGACATCCGTTGCCGGGAGAGGGAAGGAAAGATGATCTGAGAAACCGGCAGTAATGACAATCACAATCCATTCCAGAGTCTACAGTGATAGTGCCCACTGCAACTCCTGCCAACTCCCAGGAAATACCCCCGTGGAGAACACACACCTACCACAAGCCACGGGACTCTCGGGCTTCACTTAGTGCTGCGTGTCCAATATGCAGCTGAACACTCCCTCTACTTATGGAATAAATCAGCGTTAGTCTTTTATCTCACATTAGATTTTAAATGTTGCCTTCTCTCCTAGTATTAAAAAAAAAAAAGGAGAAAGCATAAACTTTTGGAAAATTTTGAAATACTTCACACTCTGATATTGCAGGGAAAGATCTATTTATGCTTGGCATATTCTCCAAGGGACAGTAAAGTATACTTTATAGCGAGTTATAAAGCACCCAAAAAAAGTTATGCTTTATGAACACATCAGTCATCATTTCAGTTTGGCATGATATTGGTGTGATTTATCCTGGAGGCGGAAATAAGCCTGGCACTGTGCAGCAAGGATATTTTTGCATTCTGCTGTGATGTTTGTGATAGAATATATTATTTTAACAATCAAGTATTTGCTAGCTGTCTTCGTGTTATGTGTAATAAGTAAATATAGTGACTATTGGAGGCTTTAATACAGGTGGTAGTGAGTTTTGTTAATGGTCTGTCCTCTGCCCTTTATGATGCTGAGACCTAGAGGGCAGCCTGGAAATGTTTGCTCAAAATTACACAAACAAAATAGCGATGTTTTCAAAGTGAGTAAATTAAAAGGCATTAAAAGCACTTCTTGGGAAATCAGAAACCTTTTAAGCAGCAACAATAATACCTACTGGTGTTAAATATATCCATGTACATATGTGCACATATGGTCGTTTTTATAGTGGACAAAAGGAAATTCTTAGTAGCGCTATTGGGGCTAATGATCAGTGTTCAACTAGCTGATACCCACATAAAGGGAACAAATTCTGTCTTCCATATCCAAACTACTTCACAGTTAGAGGAATTCTCCTCTTGATTATGATCCAGAAGGAATATCTTCCAAAGAAATCCTGCAAAATTCAATGTGCTATTTTTTTTTATAGAACTTGAAAAAATATGTGAATTGAAATATAGCCTATGAGAAGTTAGTTTAACTAAGATTCATAATGTTCCCAGGTCACCCATCTTTTTGACAATGGAGCCACTGTCTTCTTTGCTGTTTTCATGGCAGTCTGGGGTAAGTGTTCCACGTCCGCATGCCATGAGCCCCCTCATGTGCTGTGCTGTGTTCCTTCAGAAATCTGACTTTGGGTGTGAACGGGAGAAGCTGGAGTAAATCCAGTTGCCTGCTCTATTAGACACAAGCTGATAAATAATTAATTTGGTTTATTTAAAAAGTGGTATTGTAGAGGAGAAACATGTCTAGTTCCTCTTCTCTTAAACCTTCAACAATTTCGTCAGCGTTCCATTTAGAGTAAAAAATTTACCTTCTGCTGGAGACAAAAATAAAGCTCATGGTTCATTGAAAGATGTGGTGAGATCTGAACACCCATCGCCGTGTATATAGGACCTTCAACTGCGAGTGGGGTCTTTTTCATCAGGCTAATGTATGAGTACCCACCTCTGGATTTCTTCTGATTCTGCTCAAAATGACCCCCTATAAACAAGGGCTATTTAAAAGTCTGTATCAAGTCCTTCTATATAAGTTCAAGTCCACAGCGCCATAACAACCAGGTGTGATGGGACATTCACTCAAAGAGTTACTTAACCCAGCCCTGGCCAATTTGGCTCAGCCGTTAGAGTGTCGGCCCGTAAACCAACGAGTCACAAGTTCGACTCTGGTCAAGGGCATGTACCTTGGTTGAGATTCATCCCTGCCCCCGGTTGGGGTCATGCGGGTGGCAGCCACTCGATGTGTCCCTTTCGTGTCAATGTCTCCCTCCCTCCCTCCCTCCCTCCCTCCCTCCCTCCCTCCCTCTCTCTCTCTCTCTCTCTCTTCCCTCCCAGTCTATCTGAACAAAGATAGAAAAATGTCCTCGAGTGAGGATTAAAAAAAAAAAAAAAGAGTTACTTAATCCAAAGTTACTTAACTCACTTCTTTGTAAAATGGGTTTCACTTTAACGGGTTATCTTCTTAGTTGAATAATTATAAAGCTGTAAGTCTAGAAAAGAGTCTGGACAAGTTCCTAGTGAACAGTGAACTTGTGGTCACCTTAGTGAATGGTGGTCACCTTTGGAGAGGAGGAGAATTCCTGGAAGGGTAAGTGTGAACCACAGTTCAAAAGACAAACTTTTTACACTATATATTTTCAGTTCGATTTGAAATTTGTTCAATGATTATGTACTTTTTCTAGAATTTGAAATACTAAATCTGAATTTTGATGTACCAAATTCTACTAACTCAGGGCTTAGCCTCATGTTGTTTCTTCTGTCTGGGATAAGTATCAGAATCTTCCCCATTTTGCAGGGCTCAGCTGAAATGCCATCTGCTCCAGCCAGAAGATGTCTTTCTCCTTTGAACTTTCATAGAATTGGGTCTATATTATTTGGGGGGAACTTATGATATGCACATATATTTTATCTTCCCCTGGAAGTCTGTGGTCCTCAAGGACCATCGTAGTCACTGGAGACCTCAGGCATTTCTTTAAAGACAGAGGGATTCATATTTGGAGGGTGGGTGGGTGGATGGATGGAAAATAGAAAAGAGGGAGGGGAAGGAGAAGGAAATTACCAAAAGGATTTGTTTATGAGATGAATGTGTTTAAATGCCCTTTGACAAGTGGAATTATAAAACCTTATTTTCTTGAGGAGGCTAGCCTACCTAGAGATCATGAAAGGAAAATTGTCCTGCCCATCACAGCTCTGTTAAAGGGACGTATTTTGATTTCTGTGACTTCAGCACCTTTCAGCCAGTGGGTATTTGACCCAAGATCAGTCACACTGTTGGTTGGTGAGTGGCCTCAGAGAAGACCTGACATTCTGCGTTCTCCAGAACGTGGATTGGGACATGTGGATAGAGTCTGGGAATTAGCTGCAGGAACCAACAGGGAAGGACACAGAGAGGGTGGGAGGAAGGAGGATTGAGATTGACCATCAGGTAGAAGTAGGGACCAGGAGGAATTATGAGAAGGCTAAAGTTACAAGAAATGAGAACCTACAAATAAGCAGAAACAAAGAACTAGTGGGGAAAATGTAGAACACAGGAGGCAGAAGCCAACTGATACCAACTGGGAGAAAATGTGGACCAATCCCCCAAAGAGAAGCAGAGAGAGATCGTAGCCAAGCCGTGTTGTTAGTGGGTTTCAGTGTGAAGACCAGGGTTCTTGTGACCAGGCCTCTCAAGCTGCTGGCTTCCCTATCCCGTCTCTGAACAGGCCCCGTCTTCAATTCCCATGAAATTGCTGCCTCCCTTATTGGGCCTCGCAGAAAGCCCTTGCCATCGGTGCGTCTCTGTCCCCTGCAAACAGGAAGCTAATCATTAACAGAGTTTTAGTTACTGGACTGAGGTCTCAGATCAAGAATATGTATTGGGTTTTTCTAGACCATATTAGTACCGGTAACCATGATCAGGAAGTATAATAAGCCATCCAGTGCTTAAACTTTGCCACGATCACACGTGAGGAGACTTTGAAAAATACATCTATTTCTTAAACCGGTGGTTCCCAAACTTTTTCATGTCCTAGCACACATAGACAATAATATTTGCACAGTATACTGCTGATGGCCCGGGATAACTCTGCTGGAAGGATCCTAGCCCTCGCTACCCCACGGGCTGAAGGGGTAATTCCCTCTTGCAGACCTATAGTCCATGCCTGGCATACCCATTGGGAAGCTCTGCTTAGGGTCACCAGTCTACTGTGTAATGAGCTAATGCTTCTGTAGAGAGAATTGTGTTTGGAAGAATTGACATACACAACTCCCTTATCCACTTCAGTGTTTCACCCGTTTTAGGTATACTTTGACTGAAATACTGTTTTCTTCTCCCGCAGTTTTCCCTCCGAGACTGTATAGAGAAGTAACGTTCTGGTGTGATGACTATTGTCTATAAGGCAGAGGTTGTCATCTCCCCTACCCCTCACCCGTGCCACTGTTACGAAGGAGATTGTATCCCTTCCTTGCAAGTTGGAGTGTCATATGCTGGGCATAATAAATAGGTTTTATTTGATCCCTGCCAACATCAAGTGATTGATTGGGGGTGACTGACTGTAAAATGAAGTTGGGGAGTTTCTGAGGTTGCAAATAGGTGGATTGGCGATTTGACAGTCCTGGTACCTTGGAGGGTACTCAGTAAGACTCTGATGGATGTTTGGTAATAACTTTGGGCACAAGGGAACATTTTAGCTTTACTCCAGGCAATGCAAGCCTGGAATAATTCATCCTCTGAATTGCTTTGTTTTAGTTGACAACTTATTGCTTAAATCTTATTTGTTCCCAGAAAGAGAATGATTTACTCCAGGCGTTTCTTTGTAGATAGGGGTATGTCTTCTGCAGAGATCTGGAATGACCAGTAATAATAACAGTTATAATAATTGTGTACACTAATTGAGGGCTTACTATGTGCTGGACACTGTGTTAAGAACTGCACGGTATCATCTCAATTAATCTTCATAGCAACCTTTCAAGAAGGTACTAGTACTGTTATTATCCCCTCGTGACAGATGAGGAAACTGAGGCAGTAGCTAGAAGGTGGCAAAGCCAAGAGTTAAACTGGCAAGTCTCAGCTCCTACGCTGTACTTACAGGACCAGATATTACTTGTAACCCTATTTGTTTCTGCTTCAGGGATCTGCAGTTTAACATAAAGGACTTGCCCTGGCCGGTTTGGCTCAGCGGTTAGAGCGTCGGCCTGCGGTCCAGAGAGACCCGGGTTCGGTTCCCGCTAAGGGCACGTACCTCGGTTGCAGTTTGTCCCCGACCCTGGTCGGTTGTGCGGGTGGCAACCACTCGATGTGTCCTTTCACATCGATGTTTCTCTCTCTCTGTTCCTCTCTCTCCCTCCCACTCTACCTGAACAAAAAATGGAAAAATGTCCTCGGGTGAGGATTAAAAAAAATAAAAAATAACATAAAGGACTATCACACCCAGCCTGAGCCCCCTTCATACTGCTTTGCAGTGGTGTTCTATGAAAGTGTGTCATTCCTAGTGGAGCCTAGTTTAATGGTTTCAGGCTCATCCTTTGTGATTGACAAGTTGCAACATTTAAGAAAACAAACTTTATTTTTGAGAAATGGCTGGATACGAAGATGTGGAGAACAGATGTAAGCGGTTTACCAGGCCTTGGAAGAAACGGGTTGAGGTGTTTGTTTTGCTGCCTTTTGCTGTGCGTGTTCACCAGAGAAACAATCAGGCTCCTTTTGGAACCAGTCTGTGGCAGCGGACGAGGTCCTGGGTGCGGGTAGGACGCCGCTACCTCTGTTCATGTTCACACACCTGTGAGGGCAGGGTTTCCTGGGGACCCTCGAGGTACACTGGGGGCCCAGGGCTCTGGGCTTGAACCACAGCCTGGCTCTTTTCTCAGTGCTCATTTTTGTTCAGAAAGATTCAAGGGACAAAATGATTATGGCCTAAATTAGCTTTCCTCCCTAGTGGGAAAAATTAGTCATTAGGGAGTAGACATTGGTGGCGACTTGTCAGAAAGCAGATTATTTTTCTCTGTTCTTCATTTCTGGTTTTTTTTTTTCTCCTTTTTCTGTGTTTTTTTTCTATTTTCAGTGTCACCCAAAATTAAATCATTACCAGTAAACAAACCAACGTTCTCATGGGTATTTTCATGCAAATTCAAAGATTCTGTATGTAATCTCTTCAGTAATTTGTGATGAAGTATGTCCCATTTTTTAAAAATGTTTATAATAATTGGCCTTTTATTTCTAGATACTTATACTATTTTTTATCTTTTATAGTCCTATTTATATATCTAACAAAAATGGTGATTCTATGTTCAGAAAAAAAGGTATATATTGACTAAATGCCATCTGGGTGTGTAGGTACAGACACCTCATCGGTTTCTCATAACCCAGCAGGAATTACCACCCATCTTATACATGAGGGTTCCGAGGCTCGGAGAGGTTATTTCAACCTCTCCCGGGTCACCTAGCGGCTGGCCAGTGCTATAGTCTGGATTTTAAACCAGATCTGGTCTACCTGACTCCAGAGGCATTCCAAAGTGGGTCCACCATCTCATGCACCTTCTGTAGTATGAACTGATTAAGATTTCATTACTCGTCCTGGCCAGTTTGGTTCAGCAGTTGGAGCGTTGGCCTGCAGTCCAGAGAGACCCGGGTTCGGTTCCCGCTAAGGGCATGTACCTCGGTTGCAATTTTTCCCCGGCCCTGGTTGGGTCGTGCAGGTGGCAGCCACAATGTGTCCCTTTCACGTCGATGTTTCTCTCTCTCTTTCTCTCTTCCTCTCTCTCCCTCCCTGCTCTGTCTGAACAAAAAATGGGAAAATGTCCTCGGGTGAGGATAAAAAAAAAAAAAAGATTTCATTACTCTGCAGACACTTTTTTCCTTTATTGGTTTTTTAGAGAGAAAGGGAGAGGGAAAGAGAGACAGAAACATCGATGAGAGAGGACATTGATTGGCCACCTCCTGCATGCCCCCACCGGGGATCAGGCCCACAACCTGGGCATGTGTCCTGAGCAGGAATCGAACCAGTGACCTCTTGGTGCATGGGTCGGCACTCAGCCACTGAGCCACACCGGCCGGACAGCAGACACTTCCTGACTCACTGCCACTCGGCACTGAGTACACAAAGATGAGTAAGATGTGATCTCTGCTCTCAAAACTGTCATAGTATATTAAGGGAGAGTTTGTAATTATAATACAGGGTGTTAGGCCCAATTTACAATGGGGCAATGAGGGTGCATGTACCAACTTCCTGAGTCAAAAAGGAAAAACAGAAAAGACACTGCCACCAAGTCTTAAATTTGCCAGGCGAGGGAGTGGCGGAGCTAACGTTCTGAGCTAAGAATAGTGTGGGCAAAGCTCTGAAGAGGAAGGCTTCCCAGTGAGATAGAAACACAGAGAACGTATTGGTTTCCTAGGGCCACTGTAACAAAATGCCACAAACTAGGTGGCTTGAAATGATAGTAATTTGTTCTTTCACAGTTCTGGAGGCTGGAAGTCCAGAGTCACGGTGCCAATAGGGTTGTTTTGTTGGAGAGCTCTGGGGAGGAGCCTGTCCATGTCTCTCTCCGAGCTTCTTGTGACAGCCAGTGATCCCCGGTGTTCCTTGGCTTGTAGACACATCACTCAATCTCTGCTTCCGTCTCCACCTGCGTTCTCCCGGGTGTCTCTGCCCCACGTGGCTGTCTTCATATAAGGACACTCTTCACGTTGGACTAAAGGACCTCCCTACTCCAGAATGAACCCATTTTAACTAGTTAATCTGCAGTGACCTTATTTCCACGTAAGGTCATGTTCTGAGGTTGGGATTTAGGACATCAACATACCTTCTGGGCGGTGGGGGACACAATTCAATCCATAATAAATGCATGTTGGGGGCTGCAATGTACCCTTTTTCTTTGCTGATTTTACTTTATATCCTTTCACTATAACAAATCTAAGCCATCCAATGTCACCCCAATAAATTCAATAAAAATTTAAATAAATAACCAATAAAAAATAATTAAATCTTAGCCACGAGTACCACCATGTGCTGAGTGCCGTGAGTCCCCTTCATGAACCCTTAAACCTGGAGGTGGCCTTGGGGACGGACTCCTGACACAATAAGACCCACAGGAAGGACCCCAGCGAAAAATGGCTGCTCAGCGTTGGCACTTTTAACCTCCAGGGACATCTATTTGCTTTCATTTCCCTCTTCAAGAATTAAGCACTTGATTATTTCAGGTGTGGCTTTCTGAACAACTATAACTACTCTGGAGTTTAGAAAGGCGCTGTGGTATATGCACCACATACTATGGTACGCCCCAGAAGGTCATATTCCAATACATTGATATGGCTGCTTTCGGTGTGTGGACATCCTCATTTAGGGGGTAATGGAGCCTCTTAGCAGCCTGATGTCAGCCCAGGTCAGAGCTCGCCATAAGATGAGTTTATGCCAGACTTTGGGGGAGCACTTAGAATGTTTAGATCATTTTGAATTTTAGCGTGGCAGACAGGGGTCCTAGACCTATATTGCCCTTTCTCCTTTGCTTAGCAGGACATGGAGAGTTAGAAAAGCCTATTGATTTGCCAACAGTAGCACAGCTTGTATCTGACTTAACTAGATTTCAAACCTAGGGATGAATGTCCAGGTCACATGCCAGCAAGCTCTTAGCTGTTGCTCTATACTGTCTTTCCAGTTACTTATTTTAAAAATATATGTTCGGGCCCTGGCCAGTTTGGCTCAGTGGTTAGAGCGTTGGCCTGTAGACCAGTAAGTTGTGGGTTCATTTCGGGTGAAGGGCATGTGCCTTGGTTGTGGTTTGTCCCCAGCCCTGGTCAGGGTCATGCGGGAGGCAACCAGTCGATGTGTCTCTCTCACATAGATGTGTGTCTCTCTCACATAGATGTTTCTCTCTCTCTCTCTCTCTCTCTCTCTCTCTCTCTCCCCTTCTCACTCTATCTGAAGATAAATGGAAAAATATCCTCAGGTGAGGATATTTTAAAAATTATATATATCTATATATATATGTGTGTATATATAGATATATATATATGTTCTGTTATATATGTGTATGTGTGTTCTGTGTTCAAATACCACTAATGAGGTAGTGTGAAAGCCAGGCAGAAGAGGAAAGAAGGAAGGGATTATCTTTCTTTGGAATGGACATTTGGATATTTACCTTTCCTCATGAAACTAATTCCAAGTACATGACACATTTTGCTTCTGTAAGTCTAAATACACAGCAAGGCCCAACAGAGATGGACTCGCCAGTTCTGTCTCATATGGTGTCCCTATGGTGGCCTTCACTACAGTGGCCCCTGGAGTTTGTGTGTGTGTGTGTGTGTGTGTGTGTGTGTGCATCCCTCGTTTGGCTCGTAACTTCCAAGGCAGCAAGACTGTGTCTTAATTTTTTTTCCGTCACTCTGTCATGTAGAGAGCTCAAGAATGTATTTGAGTAGATATTTTTAAGTAGAATTGAGTAGAAAGTTACTTTGTCTGGATGGGGATACCCCCAGATTTCCCTGAGTGGGGAGGCCCACACACGTTGGGAAAAGCTCTTAACATAACTGACACACCTTTGCCTTCAATGCGACAAGAAAGAGATGGTTTGCAGAAAAGGTGAAGCATTGGGATTTCTCCCTCTAATAAAGGAGCTTCCTTCAGTGAAACAGAAAAATGCATTTTACACAGACATCTGCTGCAGGAGGATCTGGGGGGCAAGTGATCGCTGCCAGTCAAACTGCGAGGCTTTATTTCTGCCGCTGCCTCTACATGCCTCTGGCTTTTAAGAAGAAATACTCTCTCCATTAGAAAGATGTTAGCAACCTAGTTTTCTGTGTTCTTACATCCCAGGAGCTTTGTCACTCTGATTAGTCTCTTCTGCCTCGACTTGCAAATCAGCTCACTTTATTCTAAATGAAATCTCTGATCTTTCATTTCGCGTGACACGAGCTTAGTAATTCTCAGAAAACATTCCTGCTATGTTACCTTGAGCTAGAAGTTCTGGTATTCACGGGCGCTCACAGACGGCTGTCATCCTGCCGTGGCTTCGTTATGTAGTGACAGAGCTAACATGTTGCTTTGTTTGTAAATGTTCTCGTCTTTCTGTGCTTGTTCCAGCGACAGTTTTCCTGGAGTTTTGGAAAAGACGGCGGGCAGTGATTGCTTACGACTGGGATCTGATAGACTGGGAAGAGGAGGAGGTGGGTATCGTTTATGTCAGGTTTTTTTCTTTTATTTTTGTTACAGATGTTTCTCCTTTTCCCCCCACTAATTCCCCCCTCTCCCCCCCCCCATCCCCAGCTTTGTTGTCCATGTCCATTGTTCATGCATACATGCATATAAGTTCTGTGGTTTATCTCTCCCCCACCACCCCCTCTTCTGGGGATTGTCCGTCTGTACCCCACTTCCACGTCTCTGGGACTGCCCCATTCCTCAGACTGTTATGCTCATTATATTCCACAGATAAGTGAGTATCATATGTCAGATTTTTTTCAAAAGCAAATCACCAAGAAATACACAGTCCTCTCGAGTTATCATCCCCTCTGGGTGAGAGAAGTTGGGTTTACTCATAAAACATTTTCAGTATCTGCTTTTGCAGAAAACTCCAAGCAGTATAAAAATGACTGGCAGAATAAAAAAAGAGAGAGAGACATTTTGATTGCTTAGTGGAATCAAAGCCCAGAGCTGAGTAAATCCTTTTACTTTTAGGTAGAATCATCCAAAGGATGGGTGATAAGATCTGTTTAGTTTTCTTAGATATTATCCACTTCTTCACTTCAGCAGCAGGAGGGTGACAGTTTTATAACCCTAGACACGTGGGAGCAAACCTGTAAGAGAGCTACCCGCAGGAAACGAGGCCGCGAGCTCTCCGGGACCCTGGCAGTGCCCAGGTGGGCGCAGACTCGGAAGCAGTCCCCACAGTGGGAATGCTGAGCGGAACCTCTCCTCAGCTGGCCTCCTTGATGGATGTGGGTAAAGGCAGGGCCAGCTCGAGGTAAAACCGCCAAGGAGAGGTGACCTCAGTCCCTCAGACTCCATTTCTCCACCTTTCCCAGCTCCGTCACCCTCCCTTCTAGACAGTGGCCTGTACCTCTCCTGCCCTGGTCTGGTCTTCACACTCTCTTCCTGCCTCATTCCCGTCAGAAGTCTCGCTGGTCCCATGCTGGTCTTGGTCACCACACCGGACCCTACTTCCCTGGTCTGTGGATTCAGACCCAGCACCTTTCCTTCCTCTCGTTCATGATGTCTTACCTCCCTGGGGGCCTTGCTGTGCTAGGAAGTCAGATAAACGGATCATATGTGATGTGATGATGGAGGTCAATGGCTGTTTTCCTTCCATGCATATCTATGTTTATATATTAAAAGGAATCTGGAAACCCACATGAGAATTTAGCCCTGTGGTCGGCTTGGTGGGGGAGGTCATTTTAAGAGGTATTTTTGTTTGTCTTCAAATTGCGCCTCGTGACTTTTGCTCCTCATGCCTGTGAGCACATTCGGGCAGTTTTAGGTCTAGAAATAATACTGGGAATGTCAACAGTCCTTGTTCTTCGGATACGGCCTCTCTCATGCTTTTGAAAGCATTCTCCAGAAGACGATTTCTGGGGTTGCAGCAACTGCCCGGGTGACTGGAGTTTACTGGTAGCTTCCAGGCCGCACTGGGGCCTCCTCCTGGATGAAGCTGTTTCTTGTCGCATGTGTCCATGGGAGTGACTTTCACATGGAATGAGGTACCACTAAGCCACTATATCATCTGAGGCAAATTACTTCACCCTTGGACTTTTGTTCATCTCTAAAGAAAAGGGGTGTTTCTAAATGTTCCTCTTTTGGCGACACTGTGGCATTCTTTAAGTTGGACAAAACCAGTCTCAAAGTCACTGTCAGCACCTTTGGTGGGCCCAGGATAAACCTTGTAAGTCTAGAGCCCTCTGTCTTCCAAGCCCTGTGAAGAAGCCTGAACCACTTTGCCCTGGCCAGGTTGCTCAGTGGGTTGGAAGGTCTTCCTGTGCACCAAAAGGTTGCAGGTTTGATTCTGGTCAGGGCACATACCTAGGTTGCAGATTCACTCCCCAGTCAGGGCACGCATGGGAGGCAGCCCATTGATGTTTCGCTCTCTGCCTTCCTCTATCTAAAATCATATCTATCTGTCTGTCTATCTATCTATCTATCTATCTATCTATCTATCTATCTATCTATCTACCTACCTACCTACCTATCTATCTCCCCTTGGGTGAAGACTGGTGGAGGGGGGGGAGCTTGAGCCATTCTTTTACCTTGCCTCATAGCCATGTGAAATTCCAGCTCTCAGTTTAAGATTCGCCGCACAAATGCCTCTTCTAGCCTGTGCCTCTCAGCTCGCTGCGCAGTAGTGCCCAGACTTGCCGCACGCCTCCTTCAGGGGTAACGGTATTCGTGTGCCAGAGCTGCTGCAAAAGTGTACCACAGACTGGGGCTTAAACAACAGAAGTGTGGTATCTCACAGCTCTGGAGGCTGGAAGTCAGATCAAGGTGTTGGCGGGGTTGGTTTCTTCTGAGGCTGTGAGGGAAGGATGTGTTCCAGGCCCCTCTCCTTGGCTTGTAGTTGATCACCTTTCTCTCCCCGAGTCTTCTGTCTTCTCTCCGTGTCTCTGTCTGAATCTCCTCTTCTTACAAGAATGCCAGCCATATTGGATAAGGGGCTACTCCAAAGACCTCATTTAACTTAATTACTTTTGCAAAGACCTTGTCGCCAAATACAGTCACATTCCGAGGTACTGGAGGTTAGGACTTCAGTATATTAGTTCATGTGGGGAACACAGTTCAGCCCAGAAGACCCAGGAAGACAGGCCTGGCTCCAGGCGGGGCCTCAGTTCCTCGGTGGTGAACTCAACCACTCTTGATGGTACAGCCTGATAAATTCAAAGTTTCCCAAAGAAGCAGAAGTTTCCAGTTCTGTTGTGTTTCTTTCCTCGAGTATAACTGCCTAAACTAAAGGAAGGGAGGCAGGAGCTGTTTCTAACTGTGTCTCCCCTTGACCTTCCCCATCACCTGCCCTGCGTGAGTCCAGCATTGGGCGTGTCCTGTCCCAGGAGCCGGGTCCCCCTTCCTGCTACACGGGCTGTGCCCACTCTCCACAAGCTCCCTCGGGTCAGCCGCTGCCTCCCTCTGGGAGTACCTGCATCCGGCGCAGTGTTTCTGCCTAGATTAGCTCCCTCTCCATTTCCCCAGACTTCCGCTGTTGCCTCTCCTCTTCCCAGATGCTCAACTAGAACATGTGCTTAATTAGCCGGGGCCACTTCTGCTACTCCCTCGCTGATTACCTTTTCCTAATCCCATAATTGCTTCTTACTCAGAAGCTTTTCCCAACTAGAAGGGGCCCAACTAATTGAAATAAAATCTCAGCTTGATTTAGAATTGGAGGAGCATTGATGTGAGCTGGATTTGAAAGTTATTTACTTTGTTTTCGGTCCTCATTAAGAATACTTTAAAATCAGTGGTTAACGTGAATGACTCCTATAGGAACTTACTTAAAAATAGAGAAAGCATGGTTTTAGCTGCCTAAGTGGAAAACCAAACCAAAAACATTGGCAAGTCTTGAGAGTTCTATGGCCGTTATAACTCACAAAATGAATGCTGAACATCTTGCTCTTCAGAAGTTTCATTCATCCTTGTCACCATATAATTTCCTGGTAATGGAAGGAATTATTAGTTGTTTGAAAGTACTCAAGACAAGACAGTTGGTTCCTTTTCTCAGCCTCAGTTTCTTCCTTCGAGCACATTTTTAATAAAAACAACAGACATTTAACTATTCATCTACATCACATTGCCTTAATGATGCTCAATCCAGATCATCATTCTTCAGATGTTCTTCACGTGGCCAAATCCCAAACACTCATACGTGGTCTCAAGCCCATCTCATTGATGGGCAGATGAATGTGGCAGCTGTTGATTCTGTTTCCCCGGGAGATAAAATGCTTTTTTTCTCATTATGTGTGCACCTCTCCAGAACATAAAATGTGCCTCTGTTTTTAGGAAGAAATACGGCCCCAGTTTGAAGCCAAGTATTCCAAGAAGGAGCGGATGAACCCCATTTCGGGCAAGCCGGAACCATACCAAGCATTCGCAGACAAATGCAGCCGGCTGATCGTTTCTGCGTCAGGAATATTTTTTATGGTTTGAAACATTTTTACAAAACTCTTTTATTTGTTTCATCAAGTACGAAGTTGTAGTAGGGTAGCGACAATAATCATGTCAGGCATTCACCTAGTTTTACAAAGCATTTTGTCATGTCCTATTAGTTAATCCTCACAACTCCATGAGGTGATAGAGGTATATTGTCCCCATATTACAGGTGGAGCAGCTGAGACTCCAAAAGGCTAAGGGCCTTGTCCACTGAGCCACGAAGTAGCCTGTAAATTGCCAAGAGCTCACCTCCTCTACTTTGATCTGCCATTCTGTCCACTTGCCCCTCTGTGCCAGGCTGAAAGAAACGAAAAATAGGAACTAGGACCTAGAGCTGTGTTTCTCAGACCTTTTTTTTACCATGCCCATGTAAGAAATATATTCTCTGTCATAACCCAGTATATGCTTTGCAAATAGATATATAAAACTAAATAGAGTAACTGAAAAACGATCACCTTTACAATATGCAATAAACTGATTTTTCTGTTTTATTATCATTTTTATACCCCCCCAAAAAATTGACTTCAGGACTCACTAACGGTTATATAGTCTGAAAAATACTAACTTGAAGCTGGGTTGTTAGCTTTTCCTAACAAGAAGTCTTTTGCGATCCACTTTGACCTTGTTAATTAGTGAACAAACACATGCAGATTGGTCAGAAATGTTATTTGAGAACCACGGGGGTTAGGGTTCTCCCTCCTCCTTTCAAATGGCAAGTGTGTAAATCTACACCCTAGCTCAGTGGAGTGGGAAGCACAAGACTACAGCAGGTCCAGACAGCGTGCCCCCTTAGCTAGGAGGAAATTGGGGAGGTGGAGGGGTAGGCAGGGTGCCCGAGGACCCTCAGCTCAGACCCAGTTTCAGATCCATGCCCTTCCACCGGGATGCTCTGTGAGCAACTGTATCGTGCTGGGCCTTCTGTTGGTACATCCCAAGTTCCTGTCTTGGTTTTTGCTTCTTACAACAAGATTTCTAGACCTCGATTAAGCTTTCCTTGTTCTCCAGATGAGGAACCTGAACACAGGGGACTGAGGCCATGGAGAGGACAAGCTGCTTCTCCAAGGTCACACTGTTTAGGCAGTCGCTGAGCCAGGACTCAGACCCGACTTCTAAGTCCCTGGAGTTCTCCGTTCCATCATACTGCCCCCCTTGTCTGAAGTCCGTCGTAGGCTTCACCTAGCTCCTATCAGCAGCTCTAGGGTTAAGACATGGGCAGCTGTTCATTTCCTTGTTGATTATTACTACTATATGACAACAACTTGGCCAGTTCCAGCAAAGGTTCATGCTCAGGCTTTTAGAGCATGTCCCTCAGAGTGAGCCAAAAACAGTTTGTGGAAAGCAGAGGGATGTGTCTACAAAGAAAGAAATCTGTGTGTCTGCGAAGGCCTTCCGAAGGCCCGGTTTTTTGATCCAGTTTTTGATAACTAAGTAGGCGAAGGTCTCTACTCGGACATATTAAATGAGTCACCTAATGAAAGTCACAAAACATTTTGGAGTCTTAGATTCCCATGATTTTATAGAGAGAGAAGACAGGCTGTATTCTTCTCCAATGCCATGAAATCTTCAGAGAAAGATGTCTCAGTTCAGTCTGTGTTTGTCTCTGATCAGTCAAAGAGTGTGCACCTGTCACATCGCTGACTTATTCAGCAACAGACAGTGGAACACCTGTAATTATGCTGCAGAAGCCGTGTGAGCACACAGATACCGTCCCTGCCCTGAGAGAGACTGACAGTCATCAGCCTGACAGATTGTTAGAAATGTTAAGGAGGATGCTGAAAGAAGGGTACAGATACCATATAACAAACAGAACATGCTGGGGAGTCATGAGGAGCTTTAATTATGAAGTGGATTTGAGGTGAGCTGTGAAGGAGGAGTAGCTGGTGACAGGCTGTGAGTGTGTCTGGCAGGGGAATGGGTATGCCAGCATTTTAGGCATTTTAAGTCTTGAAGATTAAGGGTGCTCAGTCCATTGGAAACGATGAGAGAAGGTCTGAGGTCCCCAGTAGGGGGAAATGGCACCCAGTGGGGCTGAAGGAGTCTTACAGGACATCATCAGGGCTTTGCTCTTATCCTGAGGAAAAGGACACCAGTAAATAGTTCTAAGCAGAAGAGCGACAGCATAAGATTTCCATAATAAATGTGTTAATCTGCTCAGTCCGACATTCTGCTTAATCAAATGCTACCCCGTGGCTTACAGAGCCTATCACCTTGTAAGCACTATGGTCTTTCTATTTGAATAAGGAAATCTAAACAGAGGAGAGCACATATTAAACGCAATGAAAAGAATGCGTTTTGTTGTGCTTTCTGGAGTCAGCACCCCGGTTGCTTTATTTTCTCTGATCGGCAGAGGATTTCCCACGTGGCAGAAACCCTCTTCCTGCAACACACCCCATGGTGCTCACTGGGTCTCCCCTGCCTTCCTGACAGATCTGCGTGGTGATCGCCGCAGTGTTTGGGATCGTCATCTACCGGGTGGTGACCGTCAGCACTTTTGCTGCCTTCAAGTGGGCGCTAATCAGGAATAACTCTCAGGTTGCAACCACAGGGACCGCTGTATGCATCAACTTCTGTATCATTATGCTGCTGAACGTGGTGAGTGAGCTGCCAGGTGACCGGCCAAATGAACAATGCACGTGGGCTGCGGGTGATCGTTTCCTTCTGTTGCTACAGGGACCTGACCTCAGGGTCGTGTAGTACAGCACCTGGCACGAGACACACTCAGGTCTGGGGAGTGAGTCACATCTGGGCTGCAGGATTTTCTCAAGTTGGATGTATGGGCAAGGCACTCAACCTCTCTGAACCTTAGTTTTCCTATTTATCCGATAAGGTAACCCTGAATACTTCTTGGGGACACTTAGAAAAAGAATGTATTCTAAAGGCCCAGCTCAAGCTCTATAACCTAGCTCAACCGTATTGGCTCCCATCTTCGACCCTGCAAGGAACATTTCAAGCCTGTGTTGATTTCAGGCTTTTTTCAAATGTATATTTCAGCCCAGATGCTTCCCTTGAACCCCACATGCATATGTCAAACTGCCTACTCACCCGTCCTCACCGAACACATTCACACCCAGGCTCCTCCTCTTCCCTCCGCAATCGGCTCCCTCCCAGCCTCCCCCAATGAAAACCTTGGTGTCAGCCTTGAGTCTCTGTTTCTGTCACTGGCAAAATGTTTCCAGAATTGGGTCACTGTTGGCACATCCCCGACTCCTACCTGGTAATGGCAGTGCCCTCCCAACTGGTCTTCACTTCCACGTTCTCTGACCTCCGTCTGCGCCCATGACTGCAGACAGAGCGAGCTTCTTCCTCAGGAGCAACTCATGTTACTCCTCTGTTCACAATGCCCAGTGGCTCTCCTGTCACTCGGAATCAAAGTTTACGCCTTCACCCAGCCTCCGGGGCTCTCCCCCACCTGGCCCCCGGGACAGCTCTGACCCCATCTCCTCCCTGCTCACCGATGCTCCTGCTCCTCGCCGGCCTTCTCTTGGTTCCTTGGATGTGCCAGGCATGTTCTCAAACTAGGATTTTTTTACTTGTTCTTCCTTCTGCCTGAAATATTCTTCCCTACTGGGTCTGCATAGCAACTGCTCCCTCACCTCCTTTAGGACTTTGTTCAAATGTCACTTTCTAATGACTTCCCTGGTCACTCAATTTAAAACTGCCTCCCATCTGACAGTTTCCTATCTCCTCGCCTGCTTTATTTTTCTCTGGCATTTATTACCAACCCGTATGCTATTTTTTTTTTTTTTACTTTTATTCTATTCATTATCTGTCTTCATTAGAATGTAGGTCCATGAGGATAGTAACTTTTGTCTGTTTTTATTATTGTTGTTATTTCCCAATGTCTGGAACAGGGCCTGGCACATCGTAGGCACTCAGTAAATTGTTATTATTTGCAAAACAAAAGGTAATGGCCGACATTGTTAGACTTAAGGTCAACCTGTATTTAAAAATGCTAACATTAGAGGTTCGTAGTAGAGAATAAATAAGACAATGTATGTAGAGTGCCCAACACAGTGTAAAACCTAGAGATGTTCAATTAATTATAGTTCCCTTCACCCTCATTTATATTGCATCTTAAATCTGGGCCATGATACTGAAATGCTCTCATGATTAGAAAAAACCAAGTAATTTAATACTATTATCAACATAGTTTTATCTTTTCAGACTGTCATTTCTAGCTCTTTAGACAACCCTAATTTCTACAACCAATAAACTCTGAGTGATTCCTAAGAGCATTCAGTTAGTAATCACGGAACTAATAAAATATAGGCAGTTTATTATGATTATTATTAAAATGCACAGGAATTTGTTATTATAGAAAAAGTTGCAAAATCCAAAAGTTACAAAGATGAAAACTAAGCCGTTGCTGATTGTTTTGACGTGATGATGGTAACTGCTTGGTCAAGTAGAGACTGCGCAAAATGTATTTATAGACTCACTGCATGGATACAGAAATGTATTTCTTAGGATTTATGAACTGCATTTTAATCAGACATTACAGAAAAGAGATGATAAACAACGCAGTAAGCTTTAATTCATTGCATCCTACCTGGCCGTAGAATTTTTCCCGGCTTTGGTGTCTGGTTAATTTCACTGGGGCCACTCCCCTGCACAATGTGTATTCCACGGTTACCTTGGAGACCAGCCCAGTTGTGGAGGGGGGAGTGACAGGAGGTACCAACACGAAAGATATAAAGGATAAACTGGGTGATCGGTGATCGTATTTTTGAGAAAGATGGTCTCACCAGTCAAATCTAATTTTTCTTGATAATTAATTAAGTTTAATGATACAGTGTGCTCGTACTAGTAAAATATATTTAATTGAAACATCTATCTTAATCGATTGTTCACTAGTATTTTATTTTGAAGATAAAATTGAACTATAGGACGAATCTATACCACAAGATTTTTTTATTGAAAATTACACCAATCTCTTTAAACAATAGACTCCACGAGTCTGAGATTTCTATTAGCAAAATTTGATACTCTGGCCATATTAATCGTATCTTACCATAGCAAACCGTAGTCATTGCTGAAAATGTAGAGTCATACATCTGAGTAGTTGCCTGTTTCTTGTAGTTAGCAGAAATCTTGAATAAGAGAATTCACAAGTTAGGAAGGCCCTTAAGGTCAGCAAGGCCTATGCCCACTCTCAAGCTCAGTAAGGAGGACGGTCTGGAGCAGAGGGCAGATGTGAGGTGCGAGGCTGGCTGCTGAAGTTATAATTCCAGCCTGCGGGGTTTAACCAGTGCATCTTCACTGCTTCGGTCTGTGGTCTTAATTTTCACACTGTTCAAATCCATTCGACTGGGTTTTTTTCTCCATTTTTATTTATCATCTTTCATTTGCGAAGAGGCACTGTTGTTTTTCTCAATTTGTACCCTTTCTGAGGAATCACCTAGAGCTGTTTGACCCGAACTGGGCACTTGCACACACATATATGTGCAAACGTGCGTGCACACACACCTCTGCCCTTCAGGACCCCATTTACCACATCGCTAAGTGAAATAAGGATGAATTCAGTGCACTAACAGAAAAGCAGAGGGTTGTAGGCTTGGGACTTCCCAGGAATGTGTGATCACTTCAGCATTTATGAATGTAATAATCTAGGAAACCCAGCAGTCCATAAACAACAGCATTGCAGAATTTTACCATCAAAATCAGTCTTTGAGATTTTACATTGAGGATGCTGAGGCCCAAGAACCTTGTGACTTGACCAACATCACTTAGCAAGTTGGTACTTAGTGGCTGCTAGCTAGCTAGCTCTGTCAGAATTATTTACTTAAGAAGATTTTTTCTTTTTTATTAAAAGTTCTAATCTTGACATTATTGCAGGTGTCCCCCTTTCACCCCCTCTCCCCTACCAACCCACCCCCCACACCCCCCTTCATGGCCTTCAACACACTATTGTCCCTGTCCATGGGGTATGCATATATGTTCTGTAGCTAATCCCTTCACCTTCTTTATCCAGTCACCCCACACCCCCTCCCCTGGGCACCAGCCATTCTGTTCCATGTGTCCATGCTTCCGGTCCCATTTTTTTCATCCGTTTATTTTGTTCATTAGATTCTACATATTAGTGAGATCATATGGTATTTATTTTTCCAGAAATCTAAAAGATGTTTAAAATAGTAAAATGGCACCCTGTACCTTTCTTGCCTGAAAGAACACAATTGTTCACATTATTTTCATTGTTTGAGCAATGGATGGATAATGAAACTATTTTCACTCATGACTTGATTGCCTACCTCGTATATAATTACAGATTTCAGAACATCTGCGCTTCATTTGTTAAATGTATAAAATTTATTTTACAGCTCTATGAAAAAGTTGCGCTTTTTCTGACCAATTTAGGTAAGTGAAACCCTTTTTATTTCAAGGTACAGTGTTGTGGTCTGAAAAGTACATTTTCAAAGAGCCATTTTTGAAATGCTGCTGAAAAGAAATATTCCCTTTATTTTGAATTGCATACAGCAATCTCTTTGCCCTCAACAGGACATTTTAAATATGCCTAAACATCAGGGGATCTTTTCTATTTAAAGATTTAAAACCTGCCACAAACTTTATCTATCACGAGCTAAGGTAAAGTAGGTTTTCTTTGAATGCACCAAAGATATAGTATCACAAAAGTATATGTACATAAAGTACCCAGCATCACTTAGAAAGTGTTCATTTGCTACTGCCTACAATTTTTATTTATTTAAAGATGTATCAAGTTTTCATGGCCTATAAAGTCACGGCAGAGTTGGCTGCTTTGAAGAGGGAGGCCTTCTAGTGGGAGTGTAGGCTGGCCGCCTCCGACATCTGTGCAGACAACATTCCCTGACGAGTCGTCCCTGAGAACATTTCTCTGACTCCGTAAAGCACTGGAACAATCTGGCAGCCAGCTGTGCACTGTACACTTCCCACATTTTCAAGATCTAGAAAGCGTCGGAATGTTGTTATTGAGACATTAGTCATTTTACTCTCTGCAGTTTGAAGGAATTACAGCTCCCACACGTAACCTGTTTTAGAGCATTCCCATATGTAGCTTGCCGGGGGGGAGGAGGTCGCAAGATGCCATTTATTGAGGCCTTCTATATACCAGATACAGAGCGAGGCACTTGGCCTATCACCTTTAATGTCATTAAAATCTTCCTTCACGACCACCCCTTGCCAAAAAGATAGAAAGAGGTTTATTTCCACAGGAGAAGTAACTGCCTTGATAGACTGTGCCCAGTGGCACCTTCATCCAGGCTGGAAAAGAAGCCAGTGGAGATACAGCCCCGGTCCAGCTGTGGTTGGGACACCTAGGGACCCTTTCTAGGTAACCAAGAGTTCAGTAGCAGAAGGGAAATAAAGCTAAAGCGCTTTAATAATTCTTTATTTTCTTCCCTCGAGAGCAGTGCAGCCTTATCTCCAAAATTGACATTTAAACCATTTTAAATCGATTCTGTTTCTTTCTCCCATCCTTTCTCTGCTATGCTCCTAGGAAGCACTGTGAGTTATAATTTTGTGGGAAAGGAATGAATGGGTTGACATGATAAATGAGCAAGTAGGAGCTTAGGGAATGTGGAGACAGAGAAAATGCAGTTGCACTAAACACGTTCTTCTTTTTGACGGTGCTGAGGGTGAGGGTGCAGCTCCCGGGGAGGGATACGTGCATTTGACGTGAGACGTCACGTTGGAAGTTTGGTCCATATTCTCATTCCTATCACAATGTCTGAAGAGCATTTGCTTTGTAGAAGTCAGAACAGAAGATTGGCACCTGGGTGAGGTCAGGAAATTATAAGGCACAGAGGATGATGACATAGTAAATGCTGTAAAGAGGAGGTTGACTTGGTATTTGTCCACGAGAATGAAACACGGTGGTGGAAGGTGACAGGTAAAGAAGTCAAATGCTCCCAGCACTCTGAGATAGGGCCTGATTCCCTCTTGAAATACCAAGAGCATCTGGTATTTCACCAGCAATGGACGTGGAGACCAAAGAATTAATAGGAGCTTGGAGGGGACTTGGTGCCCCACAGGACTTACCCATGGGCAAAAGCTAAGAGCCAAAGGAAAGTCTCCTGTAAGGAGTCAAGACTGGGACTGAGGCTCATTCAGCTCAGCTGTCTCTGCTGCAGGCCCTCTGGGCACCCTGTCTCAGTGGAACTAACTGGATCTTCTACCCCTCAGGCAAGTCAGTTGCTGCTCCCCACCAAACCCCTATTGGGGCTGGTCTGCAAGCTTAGGGATCCCATAGATGGTCCACTTTGTCTTGCGCCATCTACAGGCTAACTGGGTCTCCTGCAGCCTCCTTAGTCTGCTCCCACCCTGTGTGTGGGGAGGGGGACAAAGGCAGCCTTTCAAACTCTACTTCCATTTTGTCCACAGAACAGCCTCGCACAGAGTCGGAGTGGGAGAACAGCTTCACCCTGAAAATGTTTCTTTTTCAGTTTGTCAATCTGAACAGCTCCACATTTTACATCGCGTTCTTCCTTGGAAGGTAAGAACCAGATCTCTCCACACTCCTGGGCCGGGGGACAGAACGCTCAGAGGTCACTGACCGGAGGCGACCAAGGAGTCCCTCCTTCAGTGTGACTCACACAAAGCGTATCGAGGTCAGCCTCTTCCTTTCCCTTTCCCTCCTCATCTCGGGAGGTGGTTTTGCTCAGAACCTGTGCACCTTCCCCAGCTAGGGTTAAGTGGAGGAAAATCATTTGCACGTAGGAGGAATGGATTTAAACCTTGTGGAGTCCACCTGCGCCTGAATCAGGGCCCCGGACCTCACACCTGTAGAAGCAGGTGGCATGAGGGGGAGGGTGGCCTGCAGCATGTCCCAGATCCCCGGCTTCACAGCAGAGGGACGGACGTCCCGACAGGAAGGGGCTGACACAGGGTGCTAGTGCAGCCTGGGTACCTTCGCACTCCAGCGGCTACGAGGATTGGCAAGGCCCCCGCGTTCCTCATCGTCAGGGAGTCATCGCACCAGGAAGCATTTCTGAGCAGAGGAGACCCAGGGACGGGCCGAGGAGTGGGTTTTGGTGAGATGATGGCAGCAGCCTCCCCTCAGTGTTAGGCCTTTCAGAATGGAGTTCTAGTCACATCGTTTGATTTAAAAAATAACAGCAGCATTATTGTTCCTCGGAAGGATCAGACTGTGTTGCAGCCCAGCCTGCAGCTTCCACAGGCCAGACGACCTGCTCTCCAGCAGGGAACAGTGAGAATGTGGTCAGCAGCCAGACAGAAGGGGCAGATCCCCCGGGGACTCCAGAAGCTGCAGCCATGTCCGCTCTGGAGTTTCCTAATCCCCTTAGCCCTGGGACTCGCTGTACCAGTCATTTTCACTGGAAATGTACTGCTCTGCGTAGGATCTTCACTGAAGGCTAATGGTCTGTTTTTCTGTGTGTGTTGAAGATTTGCAGGACACCCAGGTGCCTACTTGAGGCTGATAAACAGGTGGAGACTAGAAGAGGTCTGTATTCTCCCATCATCCCTTGTTTCCCAAAGCCCTGCAGTAAACAGCCTCGGGGCCACTATTGATTCTTGGATTTCTGTGTTTGCTTGCCTGCAGTGCCACCCTAGTGGATGCCTTATTGATCTCTGTATGCAAATGGGTATCATAATGGTGCTAAAGCAGACCTGGAATAATTTCATGGAACTTGGCTACCCGTAAGTACCTTCGTGTCTGTGGCTGAGAGGCAGCATTGCTCGTTATTGGCTTTTCTGGGCATGACGAGTAAGATAAGCAATGCAGACTCAGCCGCTAAGCCAGTGCCTGTACCCGGAGCTATGTGTTTACGCTCAGGTGCTCAGACATTTGTGAAAATAATAAGTGTTGGCCCTGGCTGGTGTGGCTCAGTTGGTTAAGTAACATCCTGTGCACCGAGGGGTTGCCAGTTCGGTTCTGGTTAGGTCAGGGCACATGCCAGGGTTGTAGGCTAGGTCCTTCGTGGGGGTGTGCAGGAGGCAGCCAAAATGTTTTGCTCTCGTATCCAGATTTCTCCCTCTCCTTTTCTCTTCCTCTAAAAAACCAATTAAAAAAAAAAAAAAAAAAGGCATCACCATAACAAAATAAACAAACATTGGTTCTTGTGGAAGTCTTCGTACAAGTCACGTGAGCAAAAGTGAGTATTTTTTAAAAAGAATATTGGGCCCCTCAGTATTGGATACTTGCATGCAAGATGCTTTCAATGATGTCTCTAACCCTTTTAACTCTAGCATTACAAGTCCCTATAACAGCTTAACTAGATCTCCACTCCCCCATCCCTAAGATAAATCAGGAATAGCAATTTTCTAACTACCTTAAATTCAGACTGTACAGAAAAGAAATTTACGGGAAGGAGAGAAGTTACGGGTTCAGAAAAGAAACCGGATTATTTCTAAGTCAGCATATCTTAGCTGGGAAAAATATTATTACCTGGTGATGATAGTTTAAGTTGATGACAACAGGCCAAAACTTGCTTCACCTCTGTTAGGATAACCTTGAATCCTGCTGTGTGCTCAGCTCTGGTCAGTTAAGTTTCAAAGGGACGTAAATCAGCAACATTCCCATTTCTTCTCTGATTCCACACCTGCCGGTTTCTGCTCAGCTCGGCATCTCCATAGAGAACTCTGAGTTCCAGGGAGGACCACTCAGCCAGAAAGCTTGGCTGGAACTTGGTTCACTTTGCAAAGTCATCTATTAGCTTCCCATCAGAACCACTACTGGTAATGTTCTCTTCGAGATTTATTTTTAGAAAACGTATTCCAAGTGCTTTATGTTTTCTGTAAAACTTTTACAAAATAAAGTATAAAATTAAAAATGTTGAGGCATATATTCTACTTTAAGATATAAACCATAGTTTAACAAAATGTCATGGACCTCAAGGGAACTATATATTTTATCATCTAGTAATGCGGACATAGAGCAAAAATGTGAAGTAGACAGTCTGTCTTTGATACCCATCCCCTTATTTCACATTTGTTTTTGTTTTGTTTTTTTGGCGTCTACTCCCAGAAACCCTTCTCCTTGTCCCCTGCAGCACACAGACCTGCCCCCCTCCCATTTCCTCAGCCCTGTTCCATGTCACAAGATGCGTCCCCAAGCTCTGCTACGGATTCGTGTGCTGACCTCCCCAGAGTGAGATGCATTTCATTGGAAGTCAGAGCCCCTGTCGAGCTCAAGGCCAAAGCAGGCCAGTCCTGTCGTGGAACTAACCACAAGCTTCATTGTGCCAGAGAGGAAGCATTCTGTGGGTTTGCAGATTTTCTAGTCCTTCCCCCACGTCAGAATATGCAGGTCAGCACCCATGTGGTGAGACTGCTCCAGGGTCACATCTTCCTCTTCTCGGGGTTGGTTTATGGGTGTTCTCAGTCCTTTATCCATCCCTCATAGCAACACCGAACATGAGACAATTTCATCAATCCTTCTGTTGACTCACATGAAGTAGAACCACCACTGTTATTTTCTCCCCAAGCCAAGTCTTTGTTCCCTCGGCAGCCTGTCCTCGGTTTTTTTAAACTACGAGTCTGTACTCAACTTCAGAGTCTATATTTCTAAATTCAGCCTTGTGAACAGTTACATATTGTCTTAAAGAAACTACACTCGTTGTGCAGGTTAATCCAGAACTGGTGGACGAGAAGAAAAGTGCGACAAGAACACGGGTCTCAAAGGAAGATACGGTTCCCACAGTGGGAGAAGGACTACAACCTCCAGCCGATGAACGCCTACGGGCTCTTCGACGAATACCTAGAAATGAGTAAGGAAATATTCTCCTCTATCCTCCGTCCTCGTTCATCGAAATGCCCATCCTAGCTCTCCAGCTGCATTCAACTAAACATATCAGTTATCTAGGCCGTGAGTGTTGGGGGTTCTTGAGCTGACCGTAGAGCAGGAGTGTGTTACTTTAAGAAGCTCAGTCCATAGGGATGGTGCCAAAAGCCTATAGTCACATCTGTCTTGTTGGGACATTGTGTCCTGTCTGTTGTAATAAATCACCAGAGAACAAAAATGAGTTGGAAAACTTGATGAACCAAAGGAAAAGGGGTTCTCACTCATGGCGTAATTGATGCATTCGGCAGCCATCTGTTGAGCCAAGTTTTGTCAGGCAGACACTATGCTCAACACTTAGAGCTATGAGCGGAGAGAAGGCAGAGTCCCAGCTTTCCCAGGGCGCGCAGGATGTGCGGGCAGCCAGCGGTAAAAAGAGTAAGTGCCATCAGTGGTCAAAAGATGCTGCAGTATGAGTCAGCAGGAGTCGAGTGGGGACAGTCATTCCCCTTGGAGGGTGCTGGCAGGAACTAGGACGGCTTAAGCATGCTACACTTTTATTTTAGAAACCAGATTCCTCTATAATCAAACGCAAGCTGTATATCGTACCATGTAACTACGAGCATGGGTCTGCAAACAGATTACCTGAGTTCGAATCTCAGCGCTATCCCTTATTAACTATGAAATCCCGGACAATTACTTCATCTCTCTTGGTCTTAATTTCCTGATTTGTATAGTGGGGCTAATAAGAATAACTACTTCATAGGGTCTTCGTGTGGATTAAAGAGTTAATTCACGGTAAGGGCTTAGGTTCTTGGTACATGTTATCTTATATCATTAGTATAATTTTCCTCATCTTATCTCCTAGGAGAAAAAGCTAAGAGAATCACATAGCATAATCATTGTGTATAGTTTTTCTTTCTTTTTTTAAAGTTATGTTTAAGCTTTGTAACATTGGGGTGGCAGTTCGGGGTGGGGATGGGCGAGATGCATTCCTTCTGAAAGAAGCAGTTCTCTCAGGTGGATCCGAAGGACGAATAGAATTGACGTTTAATATTCCTTAGATCACTCACGTACTAAGATCTACTAATGTTTCCTGAGTTTCAATTATAAAATGGCAGAGCAATATAGCTTAGAGAATAAATCAATTAGGGCGTTAGTAATAAAACTTAATAAAGAGAATTCATTAAGAGAAATACTTTGAGGTCTCTTAATGGATCCTTCTCCCATAAAGAAGGAAATGAACAAATAATGTTGGTTTATTACGTGCTTGCAAAGAAGCTTTTGCGTGGCTAAACTGGAGTGTTCCAAATACTGGGGTATCTTTGCAGCAAGAAACAAGTCTCAGTGAATTCTAACTGCTTACTAATGTTCTTGTTGCTTTGTTACTTCTTAATGACTTTCTGCTTTGCTATATTTTTAAAATTTTATTTGTGGTTATATAATATATAGTGAGAAAAGTATACATATGATGTGTACAGATCAATGAATGTTCACACAAATGTAACCAATCTAAGTAAGAGAAGCATGGGCAAACTACTGGTCATAGGCCAAATCCAGTCTACTGCCCTTTTCTGTAAATAACTTTTTATTGATACACAGAAACACCCTATCATTATTATTATTATTATTATTATTTTTACCTATATTATCTATAATATTACCTATTTCACCTATATTATCTATAGTTGATTTTGCATTACAACAGCAGAGTTGAATAGTTTTGATAGAAAACTCTATGGCTTGAAAAGCCAAAAATACTTACTATCTGGCTGTTTACAGGAAATGTTTGCCATCCTGTGAGCTAGATCAAGAAGTAGAATATTACCACTGTCAGAGAGACCCTTTTGTCCCCTCTCCCAGTCATAGCACCCTCCCTAACCACTTTCCTGACTTCTAACACCATATATTAATTTTGCCCTTTTTTGATCTCCACATATATGAAATTGTACAATACATACTCTTTTGTAAATGCCTCTTTTGCATTCAATATGATGCTTATTCGATTCTTCCACGTTGTTACAGGCAGTAGGATTTCATTTTCATTGCTGTATAGTATTCCGAGAGTGTGTACCTAAAGCAAAATTATGAAAGAGGCAGTTTGTTTCTGATACCTCTCCCATCTTTCCTTTTGTTATATTTTTTTGCACTTCCGCTCCCAAATATGCCCCAATTTTCTCATCTGCACCCTCCCCCCCACAGAACCCTCTATCCCTCTACCAATAAATCCCTCAACCATCCCATACCATGAAATGTACTCCTGAGCATTGCTAAAGATTAATGTGCTAGATAGATACATTTTAATAGGAATCAAAGCCTCTGTCAAGTTGGAATTTATAAAAAGGTAAGTTGACCTGTGGGGGTGCAGGCATCGGTGTGCCAACAGATGAACTATTTTGTGTTTGCAGGTCTTCTAGGTTCCTGAAAATAGGAATGCACTATTGTTTATCCATCCATTCTACTGGTGACAGACACCTGGATTGTTTCTAGGTGTGTGCTGCTTAATATATGTACAGGTTCCAGAAAGGAGCTTCTATAGGAGTGTAGTTACTAGGACACAGACCTGCATTTGTTGATGTTCCACAGACACTTGCGAAGTTTTCAAAAGTGCATTGTATCAATTTCCACTCCGACTAGCAGTATAACAGCATCAGTTATTCCATATACTGACTAAAACGTGTTAGTGGCATCCTCTTTACAATTTCAGCCATCCCTGGTTGATAAGTAGCAATATCTCATCACGGTTTTAATTGGAAATTCCATGGAAACTAATGAAGCTGGGCACCTTTTCATATGCTCATGGTCATCTGATACCCTCTTTTGTGAATTCTCATTCAAGCCAATCTTTATATTGTCCCCTTTTTTGTGATTTATGGAATGTGTTTACATATTCTGAATATGAGTCCTGTGTCAGATATGTTTGTGGTAAATCAAATACCCTTTCCCGGTTGGTGGCTTGGCTTCTCACTCTCTCTATGGTGTATGTACGTGAACAGAGGTTTCAGCTTCATTATTCTTGAAAATTGGTTCCATATAACTTTCAGGATCTGATATCTAATGTATACAAAAATCTTACTGAAATATTGGTTGGGATTGAATTGAATCCCTAGATCAATTTGGGGGGAATTTGGGTCTTTTTTTAAAATCTCTGAATATGATCTGTCTCGGCGTTTATTTCTTTTTACATTTTTCTCAAAAATTTTTTATAGGTTTTAGTATAAAAATTTTATACAACTTCAGTTAGATTTATTTCTAGGCACTTTATGAATTTTAGTGCAATTTCAAATCATGTCATCTATAAATGATGACAGATTTACTCCTCTCTTTCCAATTTGGGTGCCTTTTTTATTTCTTGTCTGATTGCCGTGGCTAGGACTTGCAATCCTGTGTTGAATAAAACTGCTGAGTCACTTGTGGAGCTGGATGGGTAGGGCTGCAGTGTGGTCTTAAAGGCAGTCACTGGGTGTGCTGGGTCTTGAGCCTCCTGGGAGGGGCTCTGGTGCAGACCAAGGTCCGCTGCCGCTGGGTTTGGGATTCCTTAGTAGGACATACAAAGTGATCTGCAGTTCTTGCCGCTTGTGCTGGGCTTGGAGGCACTTGTGAGAGGCTATACTGTGAATCAAGACTGTCTTCAACTAGTGCCAGGGTTGGGAGCCTTGGGTGGGCACCATGATGTGAGCTGAGGCCAGCCCCCACTTTTGCTGGACTCGTGGCTGCTCAGTTGAAGCTATATTTCAGGCCAAGACTGTCCACCACTTAGGCCAGGCTTGGGGCCACTTAGCAAGAGCTACAAGGCACACTGAGGCCGGCCACGGCTTACTTGAGGTTTATGGACCTTTGAGAGATTTGGGGAAAGTCTACAGCAAGGGCCAAAGCAGGGCCTTTGTGTGGAGGAGCCACCGAAAGAGTCTGGGGGGGGGGTAAGTTGGGTGGGGTGAATGGTGTTAGCCAGGTTAACAGAGAGCACCAATTTGGCACCTGCCTGTGCCAGGCTGGCTGAGTGAGAGAACTCAACAAAGGAACCGTGGCACCTGCCAACAGTCTGTCCTAGGAGAGAGTTGCCCTTGTCCCTCCAACCTTCACCCTGAAGTTAGTCCATTTAGTTTATCCCCATATGTTTCTGGTACTTTTTGAGCTGCAGCCCCTGCACTAAAACAGAGCAAGCGGGTTTATGAGCGAGTGATCTGTGCGTGGCCCCTTTAAGAGCAGCACTTTGCTCTCCAACAGTCTTTTGTCTTTCTTAGATGCAATCCCTGCTGGTATTCACAGTCAGGTTTTAGGGGGACTCCTCTGCCCAGCACTTGTGCTTTGTTCTGGGACCCCTGGAGCTGAGGTATCCCTCCTAAATCTTAATCACAATACCTTCAGTGTAGGATCTGCTCAGTCCATGTCTCTACCCCTCCTACCAGACTACATGTGGCTTCTTCTGTATCTCCTTGGTTACAGGACTTCTGTTCAGCAAGTCTTCAGGTGGTTCTCAGTGGTGTTTGTTTATACTTCAGTTGTAATTCTGATGTGGTTGTGGGAGGATGGGAGCAGAGTTTACCTACTCTCTCATCTTGACTAGAAGTCATTGAATTTTTTAGAGTTGTTTTAGGTTTACCAAAAAGTTGAGAGGAAGGTACAGAGATATTCCATATGTTCCCTGCCCATGCATGGCACCCCAAATTATCAACACCTCTCACCAAAACTGTACATTTTTTACCAAGGATGAACCTATATTAACATATCATAATCACCCAAAGACCACAGTTTACTTTAGGGTTCACTGTTGGTATTTTAGATTCTGTGGGTTTGGACAAATTTATAATGACATATATCCATCATTATAATAACATACAAAGTATTTTCACTGCCTTAAAAATCGTCTGTGCTCTGCCTGTTTATCTCCCGCCCCACCCAGCCACGTGCGTACCATTTATCGGGTTAAAGAAGTTTACTTATATTCTTAGGTTGCCCAGAATTCTTATAAGTAGCTATCAAAATCTA